GCTTTTTTCCTTTAATTTTGGCAACGCTCTATGAAAAGGTTTACAAATTTCCAATGTTGTTTTATTATACATTTTTTTATTAGCTTTAGTAATGTATCTTCCATCAGAAACTTTGCTTGTTCATTATAAGGTTATATTGAAATACAACAATTATATGCAGAGAAAGTAACATCTAATTTTATCATTGCTATCTGTGCTTTAGCATAAACGATGGAAGAGATAACATTTTCAATTTGTCATACTACCGAAAAAATTTAAATTATCTGGGTTTTTATTATCCATACTCCATTACATAAATAATTAGCTAGAGGAATCATAGAATTAAGTCGCACAATAGTTCCGATTGATTGGTGTTTAACGCCACTTTTAGCATTATTTGCTATTTCGTGGCGATCAGTTGTTATTGATGGAGGAAGCTGCAGAGCCTGGAGGGAACCACCGACCTTCTGCAAGTAAGATTAGAGTCAAGCGCACCTGTCACGTGCCGGGTTCGAATTCACAACCTCAGTGTTGAAAGGCTAGTGATACAGCAGTTGAACTAATTAGACCACTTGGTCATCGAGGCCCCCTACTATAGTTCGACAATATGTGTCTATATCGAATGCATTTATCAGAAACAAAGCTACAATGCAAAGCCCTACTTAACTTAAGGGAATACGATAAAGTTTTGATCCTACATGAATTTTTTATGAAAACTTGCATACAAGCTATTTTTCACCCAGCCAATCTAAATATGTAATAAAAAATATACATTTATGTGCTAATTTTAAAGAAAACGGGATTGAAATTATAGACATTTACTAAAAATTTCGGTTTCTTGGACATTTCTATCCTTTGGACAGACATACCTAACTTTTTGTTTTAAAAGACAAACACAAGCGGATTTTTGTAAAAACAGTTGGAACATCTTCTTTACATAATGGAAATGAGATGTGCTAATGCTTATACAACTGCATACCAATTATCATTGACCTACCACTAACGGGTCCCCTTAAACTGACCCAATACATGAAAATTACTCAAAAGTTTCAAAGTCAATAGACCATGACTGGGGGGGGGGGGGGGGGGGGGGGGGCGGGCCAAATAATCTCCATGGGAATGAGATATGCCAATGCTTATACAACTGCATACTAAATATCATTGACTTACCACTAGTGGTTTCCCATAAACTGACCAAATCACAAACTAATACATGTAAACTAAGCAGTTTCAAAGTCAATAGATCATGACTGATTGACAGGGCCAAAAATTTTCCATGGTTACAAGATGTGCCAATGCTAATACAACTGCATACCAAATATTATTGACCTACCACTAGTGGTTCACCATAAACTAGACCAAATCACAAACTAATACATTGTCGACGCCTCCGCTGCCGGAAACAGCATACCTATGTCTCGCTTCTTGACTCAGTCAAGGCGAGACAAAAACTGGCATTTTTTGCTATACAATTATCTAATTTTTAAACAAGAGGCTGTCAGAGTGACAGCAAACTGGATTTTTTAACATTTATTTTTGTCCTGGCATTTTTCAATAGCACAAGGACCATAACTGCTGAACAGTAAAAGTGACAATTATCAATATTGAACTTGACCTCCATTTTGTCATCAGTAACAACATATTAAAATTTGAAAAGCTTTGGTTGAATGGTTCATGAGTTAAAGCACCGACACGACTGGAAACACCATTTTTCAATTTTTCAAGCACCATAACTCCTGAACGTTGAAAGTGAAAATCGGCAATATCGAACTTGACCTCCATTTTGTCATCAGTAACAACAGATTAAAATTTGAAAAGCTTTGGTTGAACGGTTCATGAGTTAAAGCACTGACACGACTGGAAACACCATTTTTCAATCTTTCAAGAACCATAACTCCTGAACGGTGAAAGTAAAAATCGGCAATATCGAACTTGACCTCCATTTTGTCATCAGTAACAACAGATTAAAATTTGAAAAGCTTTGGTTGAACGGTTCATGAGTTAAAGCACTGACACGACTGGAAACACCATTTTTCAATCTTTCAAGAACCATAACTCCTGAACAGTGAAAGTGAAAATTGTTAATATTGATCTTGACCTCCATTTTGTCATCAGTAACAACATATCAAAATTTGATAAGCTTTGGCTGAACGATCACGAGTAAATTCACGGACACTGTTCAGCAGCCGCCCGTCGTACATCCTCAAATCAATAACCAATTTTTCCTTCAGAAATCTGGTTAAAAATTCATTTGTGATTTTTTCATAAAAATTGGTACAAATAATCTTCATACATAACTAAACCAAATGTCATTTGAAAATATAGGGGTTAATGTACTAGTTTTCAAGCTTATTAAAATCAGTCAAAAAATGCATCTTTTCTCGATTTGGCACAGTTTGACTTCCCAATAGATAATGTTTTACGTTAGCAATGTCACAACCTCCCCTGAAACTGTATTGTATGCTCTAAAATTGAGTATCTGTACATAAGTATGCTCTAAATTTGTATAACAATTCTTTGGAAATAATTCATTTTTATTAAAGTTTCATGATATCAGTTCTCATTGGTTGCTTTATGATGTTGGAAAGATTCTATTGTCTAGAATAAGACATAGAATTGGGGACATGTCCCAGATAGAAGATATCAAACACTGAAAAATTACTGTATGAGTATTTTTAAAAGATCCGATCAGATACTCAATCAACAAAATGCATCACACGGTAAAGCATGTTTATGTGAAGCCTGATAAAAAAAACTCAGGAATCTGATTTGTTCTTTCAGAGAAAAATGCATAGAAACTTCATGGGACGGAAGGATTGATAGACAGAAGTAACAAGAGTGCACACGCTGAAATGTCTCGCCTTCTTTATTGACCATTGATTTTATGTTGATAGTCCTAAATATATAGCTTTACTAAAAGTATCACATAAACTTAACATGATCCAAGAAAATGAGGTCAAGGTCAGATAAACCAAACCAGAAATACATGTACACCTTACAATCATTCAATACACCAAATATAGTTGACCTATTGCTTATAGTATCTAAGAAACAGACTTAAACAGGAAAACTAAACATTGACCAATGAACCATGAAAATAAGGTCAAGGTCAGATGAACCAAACCAGAAATACATGTACACCTTACAATCATTCAATACACCAAATATAGTTGACCTATTGCTTATAGTATCTAAGAAACAAACTTAACCATGAAAACTTAACATTGACTAATGAACCATGAAAATGAGGTCAAGGTAAGATGATACCTGCCAGACAGACATATACACCTTACAATCATTCCATACAACAAAAATAGTTGACTTATTAGTAATAGTTTAAGACAAGAGTGCACACGCTGAAATGTCTCGCCTTCTTTACTAATCATTGATATTATGTTGATAGTCCTAAATATAAAGCTTTATTAAAACTGTCACATAAACTCAACATTAACCAAGAAAACTAAACATTGACCAATGAACCATGAAAATGAGGTCAAGGTCAGATGAACCGTGCCAGGCAGACATGTACAGTTAACAATTCTTCCATAAAACAAATATAGTTGACCTATTGCTTATAGTTTAAGAAAAACAGACCAAAACACAAAAACTTAACACTGAGCAATGAACCGTGAAAATGAGGTCAAGGTTATATAAAACCTGCGTGACTGACATATAGATCATAAAATATTTCCATACACCAAATATAGTTGACCTATGGCATATAGTATTAGAAAAAAAGACCAAAACTCAAAAACTTAACTTTGACCACTGAACCATGAAAATGAGGTCAAGGTCAGATGACACCTGCCAGCTAGACATGTACACCTTACAATCATTCCATACACCAAATATAGTAGACCTATTGCATACAGTATAAGAAAAACAGATCAAAACACAAAAACTTAACTATAACCACTGAACCATGAAAATGAGGTCAAGGTCAGATGACACCTGCCAGTTGGACATGTACACCTTACAGTCCTTCCATACACCGAATATACTAGACCTATTGCTTATAGTATCTGAGATATGGACTTGACCACCAAAACTTAACCTTGTTCACTGATCCATGAAATGAGGTCGAGGTCAAGTGAATTCTGTCTGACGGGCATGAGGACCTTGCAAGGTAAGCACATACCAAATATAGTTATCCTACTACTTATAATAAGAGAGAATTTAACATTACAAAAAATGTTAACTTTTTTTTCAAGTAGTCACTGAACCATGAAAATGAGGTCAAGGACATTGGACATGTGACTGACGGAAACTTCGTAACATGAGGCATCCATGTCTTCCACCTTCTAAAATATAAAGCTTTTAAGAAGTTAGCTAACGCCGTCGCCGCCAGATCACTATCCCTATGTCGAGCTTTCTGCGACAAAAGTCGCAGGCTCGACAAAAAACAGACCGAAACACAAAAACTTAACTTTAACCACTGAACCATGAAAATGAAGTCAAGGTCAGATGACACCTGCCAGTTTGAAATGTACACCTTACAATCATTCCATACACCAAATATAGAAGACCTATTGCTTATAGTATCTGATATATGGACTTGACCACGAAAACTTAACCTTGTTCACTGATCCATGAAATGAGGTCGAGGTCAGATGAAAACTGTCTGACGGGCATGAGGACCTTGCAAGGTACGCATATATTAAATATATTACTCATAATAAGAGAGAAATTTACATTACAAAAAATCTTTTTTTTCAAGTAGTCACTGAACCATGAAAATGAGGCCAAGGACAATGGACATATGACAGATGGAAACTTCATAACATAAGGCATCTATATACAAATTATGAAGCATCCAGGTCTTCCACCTTGGAAAATATAAAGCTTTTAAGAAGTTAGCTAACTACGCCTCCGCCGGATCACTATCCCTATGTCGAGCTTTCTGCGACAAAAGTCCTTTGGAGTAGGGGTATAATTATCTTGAAAAATGCACAAATAATATCTGCCAAAAAAATGGTCAAGAGTTATCTAGTTGTTAATGGTATATAAAAACAAACAAATCAAACACTTCAAGTTTTATTATTGGATGTTCTTTCTCTGTACAAAACTAACAGAATAAATATTTAAGAATTTTCTAAATATAAATATACTTAGGACGGAATGCTTCAAAGTTACTTTCTGTACCACTTTATATCAGCAGATAAGTATATCGAGTTTAGTGGTCTTGTTAAAAATATATTTATATATATACTACTATATTTGGAATGCTTTATCTAAAAATCAGCAGTTTATGTATTAAATTAAAGATTTACAAATTACTTAGAGAACTAAGGCTGACAGATGATACTCCATTTCTATAAAATAAAATTCAAACTGACTGTAAATGCATCTATTGGTCTTTCTCAACTAATTTAAATAATTTGTAAATCTCAAATTCAATTTCATTAATTAAAAAACAAAATATTAAACACTGTTTTGTCCTTCTCATTCATGAAAAACAACTATAATTTATATGTGAAAATATCAAAATAAAAATTAAGAAAAAAAAAAAACAAGTCAACAAAAACAAAAATCTATCCATACATTAAAGAATAAATTATGACGTTAAATAAATAAGATATCACAGTTGGTTAGCACAAGACAGATGTGCAGTATGATTGAAAAAAGTATGTACAATCGTGTAAATAAATTCACATTAAAAACAATAATCACATGAGATAATATTAATGTGGACGGTATTCAGTATCTAGTGAACCCAAAAAGTTTACTTTTAGTTCTTTTGATTTTCTTTCATCACAAAGTTGTGTTACTTCTAACTAGATTTAAAAAAAGACTCAATGTGCAGATATATTCCTTTTATAACAATAATATCTGCAACAACATTTTTTTCTTGTTCAAAAGATGTTTTCTTCTCATTCCTGTTTGAATTAATATCTAATTATCAGGTTAAGTTATTCCACTGGACAAAAAAGATAATAAAAAAAGTAAGTAATAACGGGAATTGTTAAAATAAATTCACAGAACATATAAATGTCTCTATTTGAATACTTCATAAAATGCAACATTATTTCATTGGCTGATAAAACAAATCCAGGCAAAGCTCAACATACTACTGAGGACCCCATAACACTGACTTAACAGAGTTCAATTTCTTCTCAGTTAATACAGCTCTGTTAAGCACTAGCCATACTTGTTAACTTTGTTGTACACACATAAAATAATTTCTGTTAACTAAACACTAGCCCTGTAAACAAATAAGCCATTCCATTATTTGCACACACAAGCACAGTACTTACAGAGTCATATATTTTGGTCTTTTACTTAAAACTTGCTGCTGTAAAAATTTGCATCAAATATTTTGCAAACTTAAATGTTTTCAAACTATGAACAGAAAAGCAGTTATCTTGAATGAGTTGAAAGAAAATTATTTTTTAAATCTTTTTTCACTGCAATCCAGGCAAATCACATAATTCTAGCAAAACACAGATATAGCACTACTAAAACAGAAATGGTTTATAATTTGTCAGAAATCAACTGACTAGTCCATATAACACGTAGTGACAATATTGTCTACCAGCTGAATGAAATCAATGGTTTAGTATTTACATATATCTAAAGCAAAGGAAGAGGAAATTAAGATATGAAAATAATTCCTGCTTTACATTTCAAATGTCATAAATATTCCAAATAAATTGGTCATCAGCATGAGATTATTCACAGGCATTTCATTTTTCATCAAACATTGACAAAGACAAGTTTGTAGCCTTAAGATGTATTAGAGAAACTAGCAATATACAATATAAGTATGTTAAAAAAATCAACTGATATTCAGCAGGTTTTTATTTTCCAGTCTATAGTAGACCATATCGTATTAAAAGCAGATAAAACCTTAGTTCATAATTAACATTTATAATTAGCAGCAGATGTAACACACAGATTATAGATTATTATATGGCATTTTGAAATTGTGAAAGTCTATGTTATGGGGACTGAAGCACCCTGTCTCTAGTCATTAAGCTGACAGATCAGGGCAACGCCTCTTTGGACCCAGTGGTCTTGAGGTTTGTCTGAGGGTAGAGACATGCCAATAACAAAGTTTGTAGAATGTCCAGTAGTTGATAGAACACCACGACGTTCACTGGTCTTGTACACAGGAATGCTATACACTGGCTTTTTAGGAATGTCTGATTTCTTGATCGGAACCATGTGGATCTGGAAATATAAGGAAAATCGTGAACATGTTGCTATATAAAAATCATGGTAACTGTTGCTATATAAAAACTTACATTAAAAAAACATTCCAAATATTTTAATCACAAATACAATTAAACCAAAAACAATACAAGTATGAAATACATTAATGATATCTTAAATAAAATAGTTTGTACCTGTATTAAAGAATATGTTACAGGCATGTTGATTAAAAATTTTTTCATCTTGAATTCAGCCATCAATTTTTACACTTGAAAATTAAATGGTTTCCTCTGCTACATTTGATTTTTTGCTGTTGAGACATCAATGGCAACACCTCCAGCATTATGACCTTAGACCAAACAGCCAACCAGAAAATATAAAATATAACTTTTCCTACTGCCAATTAGATTTAAATAACATAGCAGAATTGAAAACCCAAAGTCTGTTTTATCTCTGGTTGTAAAGCAGAACATTACAACAGTGGCTTTATACTGCTCCTGATTATCTATTGAACTTCAGCCAGTCCTTATATCCTTTATGGATTGAGACAATGGTTCAAAGACAATGGTTTAAACTCGACCAGTCTGACCTCGGATGATTTTGGCTATTCATTTTCTATATAATCATTTTAGTTTATCTGAAGTCGATCAACCATGAAACCATGGTCACAGACATATAATTACTTACTGTAGGCATAGGATCAAATAATACTTTAGGCACAGATTCTGCAAAAACATTTGTTTTTCTATCCCAGCATGCACCTTCTACATATAATCCCTGTACATAAACACCTGCAAAATTGTGAGAAAAAAAAGTTAAAATATGTTTTCCTGAAACAAAAAATATTTTAAATAGCCTCGACTTCTTTCTTTAAAGAGTTTTCTGGGTTTTTTTCACATTTATTTCTCTATTTTTGTCACAAGTCAAAGATTTAGTCAAAATGCCTTTGTACCTTTGTAACTTAACAATATCAACATTTCCTATTCAACCAAAACAGTTAAATTTTTGTAGTAAAGACTAATTGTATAATTCATCTAAAATAAAGAGCTGTGCTATGAGCGCATGATACACCCATCACTTTTTCAGCGCATAAAGTTCCATTACTCCTCAATGTCATATCAAAATTATAAAAAAAACAAAAGCTTATTCTAATAGATATAAACCAGTCACCAAAGTTTCATGAAAACTGCTCAAAGCATTTTTGAGTTATAGTCCAAAAAATGGGAAAATCCCATAACTTGGAAACGTAACATCTAAAATTTATATAAATCGTAAGGCAGCTTACGTCAATAGATATAAACAATTCAGCAAAGTTTCATGAAAATTGGTTAAAGCATTTTTGAGTTATTGTCCAACATGTTGACGACGGATGGACAGACAGACAGACAAAGGTATACCTTAATACGTCCAGTAAACCGTCGTATAATAAAATATGTTCAAATGTATATCTATGCTGTTACAATCTGTAATATGACCAAGACTTTTCCTTAAAATGTTAACTCCAACTTTTTATAAGAATAGGAATTCCTACAGGTATATCCAAAAATAAATCTAAATATAGTAACAAAATGATATTTTAAACAATGTTATTTCCTTCACATTTTCAGGGACTGAAAGTAAGTTTAAATTTTGTGTTAACACTTCAATGGATATTTATTAAAGCAATTTATGACTGAGGTATAATAACATAAAGATCAATGTCGGAAAATATCAATTTTGTAATCAGCATGAAACTATTTAAGGGTTTCACAAACCTCAGACACTTCCACAATTTGTAATCCTCATACAAAAAGTGTATTTTTTCAGATATTGACCTAGTATTGTTTTTTTTTCAGACATTGACCTAGTATTGTATATTTTTCAGACCTTGACCTAGTATTGTATATTTTTTTCTGACATTGACCTAGTATTGTATATTTTTCCAACCTTGACCTAATATTGTATATTTACATACCATCTTCTGGAGGTGTGTCATAGTCCTTATCTTCCATAACCTTATAATCAAATGACAACAAATCAATGGGAATGGTATACTTCCTGGCAAAATTCTGCTGAGCTCCAGTCAAGAAAGCCTGAGTAAAGTAGAATCCAGAGATCCAGAAGACTGGTGGTGGACCATTGTCATACCAATCCTGTTAAAACAGTAACAAAATCAGGTTTACTAACAAATTCATAGGAAGAAAATACATACATAGAGTTAAGTAGCTGATATAACCAATTGAGATAAAAGATTAAAAAGCCAAAGCATACAACCTATTTGTTACATGTAGGTGATAGAAGACAGAAACTAGACAAATAGTCTGAATAACTTAAAAAGCCTTGTTAACAAAGAAAGAAATAAAAGATGTGAAATAAAATAAAAACAGTTCTGTCCTCTTTTTGCGGAAATGTTTAACTGTAAATTCAATAATTTTGCATGCATTAATTATTGAGATTGTTGAACAATGGTCAGAAATATGAGATTTATTATTGAGATTATTGAACAATGGTCAGAAATATGAGATTTATTATTGAGATTGTTGAACAATGGTCAGATATATGAGATTTATTATTGTGATTTTAGGAAATAGTGCATACAAATAAAGCTATACAGTAGACTCCACCTAATCGGATATCGGCTAAACGAATATATCGGCTATTGTAATATTATTTCAAAACACCAAACCATTCCCTATATGTTTAATGTTAATTTTATCGTGTAATCGAATATCGGATATAAGAATATATCGGCAAATCGGATAAGAATATTCAGGTCATTTTGTTCAAAACCATGCACAATCGGATATTTTCAATGTTTTTCTGACAGGAAATGGACCCGGAAGTTACGAATGTACAATCTTGCAGACAAGAAGATTTTGTTTTTACTAAATAAAAGGAACTATTTCTTAATAAATTGTTGTCTTTAATCATTGTCTTCCTTTGTCATGTGAATTAGATGCCCTTTTACTTCAAATGGTTTGAATTTATTTATAAAGTATGCAAGATTCAGTTGACAAGTTGACGTTGCTGTTTGGAGAATTTTGATTAAACTCTAAATGTTCACAGAATCAGAAATATAATCTAAACTGAATGTACCTCCTTCTGAATAATTTATTGCAATATAAATATAAATCCCTTTTGACAAGAGAAATCTGACTTTTGTCAAATATATATTTTTTTCACATGTGCAAAAGTAACCACATGTCATGGACGCCATTTTGGATGTTTACAAATTTGTGAGGAAGCCTCTAGAACTATGACCTAAATATAAATAGTCTTCAGAAAACGTAAACTGTATGCAATAATATTTTATCAATCATGATTATTTTCATAAATTTAAATTTGATTATTTAAAGAAATAAAATTATAACAAATACGATTTTAGTTTGGAGATTCTACACAGACATGCTCAGATCTATTTATAGCCAAATTAGTTTACCTGTGTGATAATGTAAATAATGGATATTAATTTACTTACAAAACAAATAAAGACAAACTATGGATGGTAGATAATAATTCACATAAATATTTCAGGACATTTGATTTATTTTAATAAATAAAGGCTTTAAAAACTGCAAACAAATTTAATCATTACATAATCAGCTGATAATTTTTTACACAAACATCGTGGTGATGTAACTGATAGATAAAAATCACTCCATCAATCCTCCAGCCCTTTCACATATTTAGCAATTGTCAGGGTTAGTAACATCTCAGGATTATATCTACTCATTATTGCAGAATATTCAATGAATATACATTCATCGTCTTATTGAATATATCGGGTAATCGGATATTTTTAGCTGACATTTTGGGTATCCGATTTGCCGGAGTCTACTGTAGTAAATCTAAAATAGAGTTTTATCTAAAAAAAAATAAAATATCCCATTCCATCGCAATTTTCGAAATAATAAAAACATAGCAAATAAATGGGTATGTGTCCATGGGTTGCATATAACGTTATAAAGGGACATAACTCAAGAATGGTAAAAGTGACGCTAACCAAATTCGTACTTGATCTGAGTTTTGTGGTAATAAGCATTGTGTATAACATTTGGTTGAGGCAAACTAAAGTTGGGGAACGGAAACCAATTTCAATTTCGGGATGTTCATTCGTACGGAAGGACGTACAGATGGACAAGGGTGAACGGCGGGGGCATAAAAATTCAGAATTTTCAGTATTTTAGCACACGTTCTGGAAGTCATCTAACAATAGGTTTAATTACTCCACTGTTACAAATATAAATTAAAAAGGGAATATTATGTACATTTTGAGTATTAAGAAATGGTGTCTCTTAGAAGTGTGACTTTAGTAAACTTTTTTAGATTTTCTGATGTTCACAAATGGAAATAAAATTGTTTTTTTTCCAATCTTACCAAAAAATGCAAACAACACTTTATGAATCTAATGAGTGTGAAGTGCTTCCCTAGATTTACTTTCATCATGAATGCTAAAAAATTACCTGTAAGAATTTCAGTCTAGCAATAAAATCATTGACATAGCTTCCAAGTGGCTTCAATGATGGATAGGACTTCTTCATCCACATGCCTGGGATCTTTCCTTTCAGGATACTAAGTACAACTTCTTCTAGGTCAGATGACATCACAACAAGTCCCTTTAATAGGAAGTGTGATGTATAAATGTAAGAAAAGTAAAGGAATAAAAAGAATTATAAACTTCTTTCCAACATATGTCTCAATAATGTACCTTTTTTAAAATAGTAATGAGAAATATCAGGTTGCTTTGCTATTTTTTTTGTTAAAGAATTGCAAAAAAAAAATGTCCAAGGAATTATAAAATATTAGTACCAAGTTGTAAAAGTAAATATCTTTAAAGCATTTATACTTGATACTTTACTAAGAATTCATATCTCTGTGTGGTACCAATATTCAAGAGTATTTTTTGTACGAAAAAACAAACAATGGTGATTTTAAATAAATTTTGTAGGAAATGTGTATTTTGTTTTACACCTATATCCACAAAATCTACAATAATTTGTAACCTACAATTTATTGAATCCATACTAACAATAAACCTACCTTCATGGCCTTTCTGATGTTGGCCAAGCTGGATTTGACTGTTGCCAGAAGTCTATTGAATCGGGTCATTTCTTGGACAAGAACAGTGTTCATACTCTGTTTGTAGGATGTAGGATATTTACGCAATGCAGAATCAGTGTCAAAAATATTAGGTATTTTAGATAAAATATCAGCAGCAACTTCATCCACGACCTCATCTGTTGATTTTCCTCCACCTGACGATGCTCTAGCCTAAAGGGAAGTAATCAATATTTTTTTTAGTAATAAATATGTTTTTTTCAAAGACTATAGAATACTAATTACAAATAATGAGAACAAAATTAAAGAAATACACAAAGATAACAAGACTTCAATAAATAAATGAATAAAATATATGTATATGTTGGTTTATAAATGAAATTTGATGAACAAATATAAATAATGATAAAACTATATCAATTCTTAAAATGAAAAAGGTATGACATTTGGGAATATATACACTTGACAACACAAAATGCACTATCTTTTCGCAGGCCCTACTTCCTTACATTTTCTGATTTTTTTTAAACATATTCAATTACAATTGAAAATTTACAGCAACTAAAGCGTCCTGATATATTTTTTTTAAATCTGTGTCAGACTTTTTCCATAAAAAAAGTTACAAATCGGAAAGTAGAGATTCTCAACAATTAAAACAATATGTGATGGAAATGCAGCTAAAACATAATCCATTTTTTTCTTCAAATTTCTGAGTGGGTCCATTTTCATGCTGTCATGTGAAAAAAAAATCCAAATAATTGAAGATGAGACCAAAATTTACAATAAAAAATAACTTCATGCAAAAAATAAAAAAGCTGATTTAAAAATTTAAATTTAAAGTCATGCAAAAGATGAAATGCACAAATATGGAAGTTGAAAAAATTACCGCTGAAGGCTGAAACATAAAACAATGGAAGGAAACATTAAATCGACATGTTTACAATATATTTTTCTAGTGCTAATATACACTAACAATAATATATAATTTGCATGCAGAGATATATGAAGCAACTACATAAAATGATAAACAAAGTTAGCAACTTTCAAACTTTTGAAGTTGAAGCTCCCCCTTTGATGAAAAGATTGAAGATCTGTGAAAGAACTGTTTACCCTATAACTCAGTTCAATTATATATTTTTACATGACAAACATTAGCTTATTAAGAAATATAAGTAAAAGAGCAAGAAGTTTACATATTTCCCCTCCAAAGTGGGAGATTTTACTATTCTGTCAGAAGACTGTTCTTCAGAGAAAATTCCCATAAATCAGGAAGGACTTAATAATCACACTTATCCCCCTGCTTGGTTAAATGGAAATATTATGATTAATACATAAGGTAAAGCTCTGGGGACTTGTTTTGTTAAGTAACATGCATTTTCTGGCATTAACTAAACATATACATCTTGGATATATACATATATTTGCTTAAAATTAATCTGGAAAATAGGGAATTTTTATCTTGCAAATGTGTTCTTTACATAAAAAAGACTTCCCCGTCAGAATACATTTTGACATGTTTTGAAATTGTAAGTATTTTGATATTACAAAAATACAGAAGATAAGAATTATTAAAGAAATATAAAGCTTTAAGTGATATTTTAGTTTTAATTCCATAAAGACAAGAAATTACTGCTGGAAAGGGGAAATAACTGACATAAAAGGTTACTTAAATCTTTGAATCAAATTATTAGGAAATCCTATATTTCAATTATAACAAATGCAGTTCAAAAATACCTTGAAATATATCTTACATTGAACACAGGATGTAACAACTATTTTTTTTCAATTCACTTAATTATCTAAATCTTTATCTATAGTAGCCGAAACATTCTTGGAAACTCAATAAAGCCTCTGCATATATATCAGACAGCTATGTAATTAATGTAGTAATTTTGTCATCATATAAAGGTGGGATTCACTTCAACTGTCTGATATTGAAATAAACTTTCAAAATAAATGATAATTTGGAATACTGGGATAAATCAATCTTAGAATGAAACAGCTGACTCTTATAAACAGAAAAACCTTTACCAAGTATAAGGCTTATACAATGGCTTACCTCAAAGAATTCAATAAAAACTCTTTTTTTTTAAGGTAAAAGATTTATAATGTAAAGGGTTCTTGCATATTCACCCAATTTTACCTTTTTTCATATAGAAGTATTTTCCTGGTTTAACTCCTACAGGACTCATCAGAAAACAACGGAAGAAATTATAGGCATATGATGCAGTTTGTGGATAAATAAATAAAAAATCACACCTTATATTTGCATTTTTTATAGAGCCAATTCAAGTCTTTGTAAATTTGAACAAAAGAACACAAATATCCAAAAGACATTCAATGACTGTTTCTTGTTTTTGTGTTTTTAATGCACAACATCAGCCATACCAGACAATGTGAATTGTGGACATACTAAAACATCGTCTGTAATTTTGATCTCCTTCTACTTACCAAAGCAAAGAAATGCTAATAGATTTATTAATTTTTTTTATATGAAGAAAAAAAACTGTATATATGATAAAATGAAAAATAATCAAATAAAGGTAAAAAAAAATAAATCATAAAACATGTTAAGTAACTGAGGGCACAAATTTATATTTGTTATCCCTCATATTTTATAGACTACCAAGTAAGAACAGAGTTATAAATTAATGGAAATATGTTAATTTCATTAACAGACATTGAAAAGGAAAACATAACTCATTCATGTGTAGAGATATAATCTCTTCTATCCCCTCTGTTTTAACTTTCTATCATCCTGTACCATAAAAACTTCAAAATCATAATTTCTTCATTTCTATTGAAATTATCTACATTTACTATCACTTCGTTGTTTTTTATCGTCCCTTAAACCTTTGCTTGTCTGTTTTGCCCTTACAAACATGGCTAAATCTTAAAAAACATAATGAAGGGAAATATTATTAAGAAGAACTTGTATTCATGCACCTTGACCCTATACTAATGTGCAATGTTATACACTATTACCTGAAAGTAAAGAGCCTACATTATACGACTAATAAATATATATGATATTGTCTATCTACAGAGTTATTTGCCCACTGCTAGAGTTACTTCCCTGTCAAGAAGTTTGAAGACATCCTTGATAAGAAATACAAAATATTGTTGTATGTTTTGTGCTATTTTTGGTTGGTAACTGCTCCCTTTAGGCAGCAACCATGGTATCTCATGATCATTGCAGGTAGGCAACATTTTGACAGTTCCTTAATGAGCAATGCATGCAGGCAATATTTCAAATCTTTCAAGTGATGAACTGCAGGCTAATAATTAATATGACTTAGAATTTTAACTTCTATACCAAGGGGAAGTAACTCCAACATTTTGATTCTTAAATGTATATAAAGAGGTGAAAATAAGCCAGACATGATACATAAGCTAGTGGATATATGGTACCCTACTCTTACCCGTTTCTGTTACCATAGCAACAGTCAGTTGAATAACCAAGTTGAAGCACAAGCAAATTATAAAAAAATATAAACAAAAAAGGTTAATATCAAATAAAATAATAACAAATATAACAAATAACCATTTAAAAAAGGTAAGAAAATAAAACTGGCATATAACTTCATAAAAATTGCACTGGAAAACACCAGTGAGTCCAATTTTCAGAAATAAGTAAGAATGGGCTATAACCAATTTTTTAAGGTTATGAAGCCCTTTGTCTCACTTTCTCTGAGACAACTGACAAATGATGTCCATTCTTTTTTCAAATTTTTATTTTCAAAGCAAAAAAACAAAAAGTTATATAAAATACAAAATAAAAGCTTTTATCACATCTATTTAAACCAAATACGCAAGACAACCTACAGGAGGAACCAAAGCATAAATTAACACACTGATTGATCACCAACACCTCATCAAATATATCAACTCTTTCACCATATTTTTGACAAAGGGAGACAATTGGTTAACAAAATTTTCTCATGAACAGAAATCAGGGTTTGCCATTAATGTTGTATTCTTGATAATTTGCCTAGCTTTTTCTTAATTGTGGCATATTTTAATAAATTTGGATGAAATTAAAAGGTTCATAGCAAGAGCAAGATGTCATTTTAACACACAGACACTCAAATTGTGATTTATCACCACAGTACTTGCAGTTTGTTCAAATTCTGTTCGTCAGGAAGTTACAAATTTTTACTACATATAGAATTTTTATTCGAATATATTGACGGATAAATTGTAAAAAAGGGAATTTAACGTTTTTTTTAGATGGAATCTTATCCTGAAATACTAACCTGTGTAAGGAGAATGTTGTCAAACAGCAGTTTGGTTTCACCCTGATCTTTTGTGATATCAGCATTATCGTGCATTCCGAAGATTCCTGGCTTGGGGACAAGTGGCAAACTGTTTATATATTCTAAATAAGACTCAAACTACAAAGATAGAAACAACAAATGTAAATTCATTTAAACAGAACATTCAATGAGATTTTGTTTGTATATGACCTATATACCAGGAGCCTGTAGTCCAGTGGTTATTGTCTGTCATAGTTGTTTTTCATTGAACATTATTAGCTGAAATCAGACTGTTAGTTTTCTCTTTTGAATTGTTCCACATTTTGTTTTCCCTGAGCCTTTTATAGCTTTAACTATGAGGTATAGGCTATACTCATTTTATAGCTTTAACTATGAGGTATAGGATATGAGCTTTAACTACAAGGTATAGGCTATACTCATTTTACAGCTTTAACTACGAGGTATAGACTATACTCATTTTATAGCTTTAACTACGAGGTATAGACTATACTCATTTTATAGCTTTAACTACGAGGTATAGACTATACTCATTTTATAGCTTTAACTACGAGGTATAGGCTATACTCATTTTATAGCTTTAACTACGAGGTATAGGCTATACTCATTTTAAAGCTTTAACTACGAGGTATAGGCTATACTCATTTTATAGCTTTAACTACGAGGTATAGGCTATACTCATTTTATAGCTTTAACTATGAGGTATAAAATATACTCATTTTATAGCTTTAACTATGAGGTATAGGCTATACTCATTTTAAAGCTTTAACTATGAGGTATAGGCTATACTCATTGTTGAAGGCCAATTGGTAGTTGTTTACATATTTGTCCTTTTGTATTTGGTGGAGAGTTGTCTCATTGGTAATCATACCAAAATATACCAATACAGATTCACAATTAATCATCAGTAACACTTGATACATTAAATAAAATGCTCCGCTGGGGCGCAGCTTGATATGACTGCAGAGGTCGAACCGTGAACAGTTGGGGCAAGTATGGACACAACATTCAAGCTTGATACAGCACTGAATTTGGATTGTAATTAAATATTTGACACAGCATAGGTTTCTGACACAGAATGAATGTGGTCTAAGAACTTAAAAAATTTTAATTAACCTATTCAAACCATATCATTAATATTTGCTTTTATATATAAATCAGAAATAACCAATTTAAAATGGAAAATTTTAAAGAAAAAAAAGGAACCCCCCCCCCAATTTTTTGAACCCCCAAACTCAATCCCAGCCTTCCTTTTGTGGTATGGTACCTTGCAGTACAATTTCAGAGAGATCCATACACTTGAACACAAGTTTTTGTCTGGAAACTAGAAAAATGCTTGTTTTTTTGGCCCCAAATTCCTAAACGTTTAGGGCAATTACCCCCAAACTCAAACCCAGCTTTCCCTTTGTGATATGGAACCTTGTAGTACAATTTCATCAAGATCAATACACTTACACACAAGTTATTGTCCTGAAACTAGAAAAATGCTTGTTTTTTTGCCCCTTTATGGCCCCTAGTTCTTTTTGAGGTAATTACCCCCATAATCAATCCCAGCCTTCCCTTTTTGGTATGGTACCTTGCAGTACAATTTCAGAGAGATCCATACACTTGAACACAAGTTATTGTCTGGAAACTAGAAAAATGCTTATTTTTGGCCCCTTTTTGGCCCCTTATTCCTAAATGTTTCGGGCAATTACCCCCAAACTCAATTCCAGCTTTCCCTTTGTGATATGGAAGAAAAAGAGGGACGAAAGATACCAGAGGGACAATCAAACTATTATAGTACAATTTGTAGTACAATTTCAAAAATATCCATACACTTACACACAAGTTATTGTCATGAAACTAGAAAACTGCTAGTTTTTTGCCCCTTTTTGGCCCCTTATTCCTAAAATTTGGAGGCAATTACCCCCAAAATCAATCCCAGCATTCCCTTTGTGATATGGAACCTTGTGGTACAATGTTAGAGAGATCCATACACTTACACTCAAGTTATTGTCATGAAACTAGAAAAAATTGCTTGTTTTTTGCCCCTAATTCCTAAAATTTGGAGGCAATTACCCCCAAAATCAATCCCAGCATTCCCTTTGTGATATGGAACCTTGTGGTACAATGTCAGAGAGATCCATACACTAACACACAAGTTATGTCTGGAAGTTACAAAAATGCTTATTTTTGGCCCCTTTTTGGCCCCTAATTCCTTAACAGTTGGTACCATAACCCCAAAAATCAATCCGCACCTTCCTTTTGTGGTATTGAACCTTATGGTAAAATTTCATAAAGATCCATTCACTTAAACTAAAGTTAGAGTGCGAAAACCAATATGTCTTCGGACGATGACGATCGACGACAACGTCATACCAATATACGACCGCAAAATTTTTTGGCGGTCGTATAAAAATGAGTGCATATTCTGTAAAAAGTTTTAGCTATGTGCAAACGAGTTAGTCATGCTTAAAAATGTGTCACATTACTATGCATTCAATTCTTATATCTACAGTATAAATAAACATAGCATTTATTGAATATAATATTTATAAAATAAAAGCAATAAATAATCAATAGTATTGATTTAACTATGACTGATTCACATTTAGTTTACAGTGTATAGATAGTGGATCATTTAGTTTATTATCAACATGTGGTTCAGTTGATCTCAGTTCTTCATTGGTCAAAATTCAACTTTGATGTAAAATTTTCTTGCTTTCCTTGGATAACCCTATAAAAACGTCCATGAATCTATATTTATATGATATGAAAGTTTATGGCAGCACAGATTGTATAACACAAAGATCTACGGAGTCTAAAAAAGACTATCAAAGATCAACCCTCAACATTAAATTCTCAAAATTACAAAAAAAGGCTTTTTCATTTTTTTGTGTGGAATGCATCTTTAAAAAAAAAAAAACGGGTTTAAATCGCCCAATGTTTATAACTTGTCAGTGACTGTCTTAGTAGTATATGTTGGTGTGTCTGTCTGTTAATAGTAATGAGCATTACCTCTCCTTCCTTTGGTGCATAGTAGAGATGGGTGTCGTCAAAGTAATAATTTTCATCCTCATTAATTTTTGGACTATAAAACTTGTCCAGGATACTGTGTAGAGTACGTCTATCCCAATCATCTGTTACACGACCACCATAGTTACACTCTCCTGTCAGGTATCTCAATGCATCATATTGTACAGTCTACAAAAATATTTACTTTAATATTTAGTGCTAGTAAATGTGGATTATGACAACTGAATTGTAAGCTGTTATTTCATATTTTTCTTACTTCCTTGAAAGCAGAAAACCGGCTTAACCTTTACAGTTATTGGCAAACCTATGCTCTTTTTTTTCAAAAATTATTTTATAATTAAGATAAAATCACAATTTAAAGGTGTAATACCACCATTGATTTTCCCCTATTAGTCTTTGTTAAATTTGCAGAATTTATCTTTGTTTCAAATAAAGAAATACTTGGCATGAGTAAAGTTTTATCCTGTCCAGTACTATAGAAAAAATTTTACATCACATTTCATTGCATATAAGAAAATAACCATCACTGGAAGTTAACCAATCAAATTTTCTCCCTTTTTTAACCTGTGTACAAGCTTTAGTAACCATGTAACCTCAAGTTTCCAAAATATTCTATAGAAACCCCAAATAAAAAATAATGGTGCTTTGAAATACCCAAGATATATGTTTATGACCCAGAAATGTTTTACTGCGATGAAATGTAGGATCAATTACCTACAACTGTGAAATTCAAGGGAATATTTTTTTTCAACCTATTTTCATATGCAACCAGATGTGACATACTATGATTTGGTGGTATTACACCTAAAGCATCATACTCTCTTTTCATAAATGGAAATAAACTCTTATTCTATAAGTAATAAGTTATAGTAATAACAAATTAAACACAACAAATTTTAGTACTAAATATATGTTTAAAGCAGATAAGGGAGCATTTGACTTGCATCATATTATATGTTTAAACCAGATAATGGAGCAATTGACTTGCATCATATTATATGTTTAAACCTGATAAGGGAGCATTTGACTTACATCATATTATATGTTTAAACCAGATAAGGGAGCATTTGACTTGCATCATAGTATATGTTTAAACCAGATAAGGGAGGACTTGCATCATATTATATGTTTAAACCAGATAAGGGAGCATTTGACTTGCATCATAGTATATGTTTAAACCAGATAAGGGAGGACTTACATCATATTCATTCATGAACATGGCCAACTGTCTGACAGAAATACGTAAATCTGTCTCATTAAACTCATATGGGATATTCCATCCAAGAGCTCCAAATTTCCTTCTCTCCTGAACAATGGCATGGAAGAAACACAAACCAAACAACATCTTCTTCCAACAATGCTACAATTAGACAAAAAAAAATGTTGAAAAAACACATACACTGAAAGTCTTCTTTAGGATGCATTCATTTTCATATTCAGACTACACTGAACATTCTTCTTTACTATTCAATCAATTTCAAATTCACATTCAGATAACAAGTTACTGAAACTATTTGATTTCTGCTTTTCATTGCAGTCTCTGCACATAATGACAACATTTGTAATCAATGCTCATTCGAATAACCCCTATAAACTTATTTTGAAGAAAGTCTGTTGATCTCTAGATGTCTTTTATTTGGTTGTTTGGTTACTGCCTCATTGACAAATACCCTAAAATGTCCTTTAGCTTTACAAATGGTACAGACTCTTATGTCTGGATGTATTTTCTCTTTTTATTATATACTTGTGTTGATGTCTAATTGCTACCTCGCAAAGCAGTTCTTTTTAGCTTAAGTAAGTAAGTTTATTCCAATAACCTTTTTTGTGAATACAATGGTATACAGAAAATGAAAATGACAAAGTAACCCTCTGTCACATGTAGTTGAAAGTTATGAATTGATTTTTTTTTACAATTTGTTGTAACTGATTGAATCAATTATTCAGAATTTAAATATAACAATGCAGGCCATACACAAACACTGTGATTCCTACCCCTACTCCTCATGCCTGAAAAATCAATTTACTATTACAGCATATGTGAATACAAAATGTCTCCTCCTATATAGCATGTTTGCAGGTATGGTTAAGTCCATGTTTTGCTAAAGGAAAACATGTGAGCAGAGTTGACCTATTTTTGCTTCAGATCCCCCACTTGTAAACTTATGGCAAAGTACATGTTTTTCTATTGGAAACCAAAATTGTCCAGATAAAAAAATAAATCAGAGGTGCACAATGTCATTAGATACTATATTTATAAGGGAAAAAGTACTTATAGTTTATACTAGCATAATATATTCTCTACATATTTGAGTATTATACAATAGAACCATTACCTTGCAACCAACGTGAATTTTGATATTATTAAGCATATACATGAGTAAAGATTATAATTCTTATAAATTACTGTAAACTCGTAATTTAAGTGAGAATTGATGAGAACCTACAATAAAGCAATATCACTGATTGTCATTCTGTCACATTTTGGAGGAGAACATTACCAGGAAAAGTAAATGGGAGTTTTAATTATTGTCATTCTGTCACATTTTGGAGGAGAACATTACCAGGAAAAGTAAATGGGAGTTTTAATTATTGTCATTCTGTCACATTTTTTTTATTAGTAAAAGCATCACATTAATTCCTAAATTTACAGTATCATGTATGTTATTAGAAAGTCAAATCTATATCATTTCATGGTAACCAATTTTTTTACTCCAGAAAAATGATATGGTTTGAATGACACTTTGTGCGATTTTGTTTTAAAATCAAAGCAGATAACAACCTTTTTTTCGGTTAGGAACATAACTTAATCTTTAATGTAAACTAGAATAAAGTGAATGTGATACTAATCCCATCACCATGTGCTAATACAATATTATGATATTAAAGTAAAGAACAGCATAGAAGAATTGAAGTAAATAAATGTTTTAATTTATTGTGAATATCATGTGTCACTATGTAGTCATTTGACAGAAGCCTCCATTTCATAGTGAGATTGAAAAAAAATATATATTTCTTCGTATCTAAAAGTGTCTTTGTAAAAAATTTGTAAGGGTTCCGCGGAACCCAGTGTCTCGCCTACTTTTGCTGTTAATCGCAGGCTCAACAAAAATGAGGAAAAAAATTAATAAAAATATTCCTTTCTATACCATCTTTTGATTGTAAGTAGCTTCTGTCCAAGTTTGGTACAAATCCATGATAGTTTATGAATCTAATAAATGTTTTAAAAACTTAAACTGCAGACTGTATGTAATGTTAACTGGAAGAAAAACTAAGTCCATTTATAAGTAAAATACAGAAAAAATTGAACAAAATTTTAACAAAATTTCCTTCTAGATACTAGCTTTTAATCATAAACAAGCTTCTGTCTGTCCAAGTTTGGTACAAATCCAGGATAGTTTAAGAAAGTTGCTAAAATTTTAAAAACTTTAACCACAGAGTGAATGTAATGTTAACTGGCAGAAAAACTAAGTCCATTTATAAGTAAAATACGGAAAAAATGGAATTTTTTTTTTACAAAATTTACTTTTGGATACTATCTTTTAATCATAAACAAGCTTCTTTCCAAGTTTGGTAGAAATCCAGGATAGTTTAAGAAAGTTATTAAAATTTCAAAAACTTTAACCACAGAGTGAATGTAATGTTTCTTGGCAGAAAAACTAAGTCCATTTATAAGTAAAATACAGAAAAAATGGAATTTTTTTTTTACAAAATTTACTTTTGAATATTATCTTATGATCATAAACAAGCTTCTGTCCAAGTTTGGTAGAAATCCAGGATAGTTTAAGAAAGTTATTAAAATTTCAAAAACTTTAACCACAGAGTGAATATTTGTGGACGCTGCCGACGACGCCGACGGAATGTCGAAGGCTCAACAAAAACTCTTTAGGATAAGGATAAGGATGCATGATGGGATAAATAAATTTGGCATGAGGTTTAAAAAATTTGCATATAATCTGTTTTCAATTGAAAGATTTAGTATTATGTGTCACAATTGATTTTCTTTACTAAGCCTCAACGTGGATTAATTAGATGAACATTTAACCTCAAGCAGCCATTTTAGAAGATGAATGAAACTACCAAACACAATTTGGATCATTCAGCAAAAAGACCTTTCCATGTTTAAATTTTTACAGACTACAAATTAGATTTCAAAAATATTAAATCAAATTGAAGGCTCTGGTAGCCATCTTGATTGATTGGCTGGACAATAGAAATGAAATGAGTGGATTGAAGACCTTAATATTCTCTTGTGTGAAGTAAAGTGGAAAAATGGTTGTAAATCGCTCATGTATTGCAACCTTGTCCTATCCGAAGTAACATAAAATATTCATCTGCTTCTGAAAAAAATTCTGAAACAAAGTATGTGCATTATACACTAAAAAAAATTAGCCATGCATATATCATTGTCTACAGAGCTATATATTATCTGCAGTGAAGTAATCTTTCACCACACAGCATGATATACATGCAAATTACCTGGCTTCCTGTTTTCTGTTGAACAGAGCAAAATCATTACTAAAATTTCTAAACATCTAACCATACAAAGTTAAATATCAAAGAATATTGAAAAGTTAAAAAAAAAAAAAGCATAAATGAAGTAATGATGCCTGTAAAGGAAGTATAGGCCCAGGATCTTAATCCATCTTGGATTGTAAATTAGCAGAAAACAGTCTAGAACTTTAATGAAATATGCAAATTTTGAGGCAGGAATGTAATTCATTTGTAAGAATCTTTATTCAAAGGAAGAAAACTATGTTAAATATGCAAATATAGAAATTTGTTTAAGATTGATTTGAATATTTTTTTAAAACTAAGCCTTATAAGGGGTGATAACTAAGATAATTAAATTTTATAAAGGAATTAACCATAAATATTTCTATTCAGTATTACATCAAGAAAAAAAGTATGGTGATTGTATTTTTTCTTTTGATTTTCTAAAATCATTTTATGAGTGCTATCTGTTATTTTATTTTAAAATTTTTGTCATTTAGTTTTCTTTGTATTCACCTAATAACCCTTTTCCTGCCTAACCCTTACGATCAATTTTTCACAACTTGCTACTTTAAGTTTATAATTAGGACCAGGTGTAAAATAATTAGGAAATCAAAACAAATGAAGACAAGTTAAAACACACATATAGAATCAATCGTTTAAAAGCTCAAAATAAAAATAAAATAAAAAAACATAAAAAGATCACTCCAATTTTGAAATTTGTTGAAATTTCATGAAACAAGAACTTAAAACTGACCACTTACTGCATTTTTGACTGAATTAAACAGTTCTATATCAGATATTGGATCAGTCATGTAAGACTTAAGCAAATTGAAGCGTAATCCTTTTGGTGCCTCATTTGTCATCTTGACACCATTCTGCAGGATAGATACAGGGAAAAAGCTGGTTGGGTAACTTGTTAACCACATACGGAAGTCTGGATGTGTCTGTTCTGGGTTAAATTCCTGAAAGTAGAATATAAACAAGGTTTATGAGATAGTCGAAGGCCTACTGGAGCATCATGATATATGACAGGAAAGGATTATACTGTTACCTTTCAAAATGAGTTTTTGTGTAATTACAGTTACAAGAAGCAAAACAGAAGTAAGTTATCTGCTTTGTTTACAATTCAACTAACTAATTGAATATTTCATGTGTGAATCTGTTTAGCCATTTCTACTTATTTCAGAATTTCATTTTCACAATCCTTCAGATAAAACAAGCTTGAAATCACTTTTTTCAACTGACTACTACCCCTGTAAATTAAAAAATTAGTAACCCAAACCACCCATACATTATAATTATCTTGTGTATTCCAACTTCTATAACTTTTCTTGATAAAAACCTACATTTTAATCTGAAATAAGCAATATTGGAAACTTGCCTCACAAACCTTCTAAAGCAAAGGCATTGAAAACTTACCTCACAAACCTTCTCAAGCGTAGGCATTGAAAACTTACTTCACAAACCTTGTCAGGCATAGGTTTTAAAAACTAACTTCATGAACCTTCTCAAGCATAGGCATTATAAAACTTACTTCACAAACCTTCTCAAGCACAGGCATTGAAAAATTATCTCACAAACCTTCTAAAGCAAAGGCATTGAAAACTTACCTCGCAAACATTCTCAAGTGTGGGCATTGAAAACTTGCCTCAGAAACATTCTCAAGTGCATTATTGAAAACTTACCTCACAAACCTTCTCAAGCGTAGGCATTGAAAACTTACCTCACAAACCTTCTCCAGCGTAGGCATCCATGAAGGAGCTAAATGACAATTCTGTAACATCACCCATGTTCCTTCCTTTAAACCTTTCTCAATCATCTTCATGGCAATCGGACCTTGACCTTGACCCAAAGACAATGAATCGAACTTGGCACCACCAAATCCCTACAATCATTCATCCAATAAAATCATTTATACAAAACCTTATAAGATACTACAATAATCATTCTTTTAAAACTGTAGCCCCAATCTTAAGTTTCTAAGATTGAAATTTTGTCAAAAGTTTTTCAAGTTATTTAAGAGCTGTTCCAGAGTTATATGTGTGGGGGTGGTTGGGTGGCACTATTTTACAATGATTTAAATCTAGATATCTTTTGGTTTTTTGTGACATTAGGTTGCTGTCTAATTCAGGTACACCCCACATCGCCTTCATTTTTTAGGATGTTAACAAAATCAATTTACCCCACAAGTAAACTTTCATAGTATATTAGCAATCGTTTTTTTTCCATATAAAAACTACTTTTTTGTAAATTGTCTTGATTATGTAAATATTTCAGCCAATCCCAACCAGGTTCAATTTATTTAGTAATAAGATCATTTTTACACTTGTCAAATCTTCTATTTTAAATCTTGTCTTAAAAATGTAGATATTTGACCATAAAATAATGGATTAGGTAAAATTTATTAAGTAAAAATACATACCATATCTTCAGCAAATCTGAGTAAAGCTGACATAGGGTCAGAACCTGGTGACAACACAAATAATAACGGTGAAGTACAATTACTATCGGCAAAGGCTTTGGGAAGATCAAATGGTGGTGGTTCAACAAACTTCTTGCCAAGTTTCTCTGTCACAAAGTCAAATACTGCAGGAACCACTTTGTCGGGACGAAGACAACGTAAAACTAACATTTTCTGGAACATTGATAATTTTTCATGCCATTCACCTGCATATTTACTATGATGAGGTTCCTGTAATGCAAAAATATACAATATATTCAGTAATGTATTCAAATTTACATTATAAGCATTTCTTAAAAATATCTTATTTGACAATTCAGAATATTTCATATAATAATATGTAAAAACCACATATTGTGTTTACACAGAAAGTGACTTGACTTAGTCATTGTTTTGGTACTCCTGATTATTAAGTAAATCAGCAAGTCACTAAAAAGTCTTCTTCTACACAGTGTTAAAGGTATCAGAAATAAAAATGCGCCTAGATTAAACTTATACTTACAGGGTCATCATATAATTCACGCCATTCATTCTTTTGTGTCAGGAATTTCTGACGCAATCCTTTATAGACTGTCAAATCATCAAGACGGCAGATTTCATCCCAGGATTTTGATGGAAGCCATGTTGCAGGACTTGGATGTGGGTTGTCTAAACCGATACCTCCAGTCAACAAAAATCTCCATTCCTCTTCATTTACCTCCTTCTGATGTTTCAGGATGTTTACACAGAGGATGAAGGAAAACAGTAACTAAAAAATAAGACAAAAGTTGTTTGGCCACATTCAAAAATATGTTCAGTGATCTCAAAATATGTCTGTTTTTCTTTTGATTAACTATCACACAACGGAATAGCAAATGAAATCATAAATTTACAAACCTAATCTTTTCACATTAAAAAATATATTAAGGGATCTCAAAGTCGGATATTTTTTTTTATGCATTTCTAAACTTTCAGACAATACAACAGCATTCAAAATCACAAAATTTACAAACCTTATCTTTCTCAAACAGAGATCTACAGATGTTACAGTACAACGAATATGTAAAATGGTCGTAAAGATGTTTCAGACGAACTTCCAAATTGTCTGACTTTTCAGCATTGTCAATTGACAGCACAAAGAGATTTATAAACCATGTTAAAGAATATTGGTACATAGGTTCTATATTGGCCAAGTCTGCGATGGAGAAGAACAGAATCGTAGAGTGCACTGCAATCGGTGTGTAACCCATACGGGCCTGGTCAATTTTCTGTTCAGTGTCTTCTGCAATCGCCTACAAAATAAAAGATACATAAAATAACAACAATTTTTCTGATTATTGAAACCTTTAGCTGAAATTTTCTGCCTTTCTTCCTCATCAAGATTTCATGGTAATATGCTTTAGATGTGAAAAGTTCCCAGAGTCAATTGGAGAATTGACAGTATCAAACAAGTTCTAAAAGCAGCCTACAGCATATGTATATATTACAATTCTCTCATATTTAATGTAATTGTGAACCCTATTGGTTCCTAATGAATGTCAAAAGCTAATGCTTTATGTGCAATACAGCTCAGGTAGAATTACTTTGTCCACTTCAGGAATAAGCATTTGATTTTGAAACTTCTGGTTCATTAACTTAAAACACATTCAACTTGTCTTTAAATAAATTTTTTTTTCATTTCAATTTCAATGTTTTGGAAGAATGAAAACAATGGTTTTAAAAATTTTTAAAGTTTAGCAGGATCCAGATGTGCTTTTTGGAATTTTGAAATAACGAGTCAACTGTTAGGTAAATACCTGTTTCTCTGAAATTTCATTGGACAGAACCTTGGAGGAGGACAGTACTTTAATGGCTGTCTCATCTTCTAAAATGTTTCCTTCTGACGATGATAATACTTCAAGAATTTTATCTTCTATCTCCTTCAGTTGTCTGTAATGAGGAATAATACAGTTAAGTTGAATGATTACATTATTAATAATCACAATGGTGACACTGGCATGCCACGGATCAAAAGACTGAAAGATCATCTAGGTTTTTCTTATAGTAGTTCAAATAACCAGAATATGTCTGTGTGCACTAATCACAAATTTTAACAATTGCTGACGCTGTCAATGTCAATGCCGATGCCATACACAGCATGCCTATGTCTTGCTTTCTGTGGCTTTCATTGTAGGGGAGACAAAAACTGTGAGCAGAGTTTATAAATTCAAACTCCTGCTCCCCTACAATCGCACAGATATGGCAATGGCCATGTTTTGCTATGTGAACCCAAAAAATCATTTAAGATTCTCCAATTCCCATTAAAATTCAGTGGCCAAATTTGGAGTTGACACAATTATCATTGTACCATATCAACTTTGGTTACCACGTTTGATTTACATTTTGAAACCATTTAATTATAGAGAACCTCTTTTTGACTCTTACCGTTTATTTTCAGCACCCTGCAGAATGAGTGCATTTTTCTCTTCCTCCAGTTCTGGGCGTTCTCTGGCTACAACGATACCCAGTAACTGATCCTGTAATCCTTCAGGTGTAATCATGAAGTTCAGCAGTGTCACCTGAAATAATAATCAATGATGAAATCCTCAACTGTTAGCAGTAAGTCTATATATATATATCAAATGCGTTTTGTTAAAATATACTTTTTCACTTTTTTGGTCTTTTGGAAAAATGTTGTTTGTGCTGTATTTAGACCCCTCTAACAAGAAATTTGTTTTGCATGCACACGTATAAAAATTGCGGTTTTTATCCAACGCAATCATAGGTTTGAACGTTGTTTTCAATTTAGACTTGTTTATATTTTTTCGTTTGGGCTTGTATTATATTTGCCTTCGGGTTTATATGATCCGTTCATCCTATTTCGACTCTTTCAAAATTCAAGAGTCTATCCTAAATTGAGGTAAATTATATGGCCTTCCAAATACCGTTTCGATTTCTAACATCACTGAAGAGACATTAGTTGTCGAAATCCGGATATGGTGTACAAATTTTTGCACCTCATGTTTGCGATATACCATCTTTTCCGCAAGTTTATTGTTTTCTGTTTGGTAATAAATTAATAATAAGATCCATTTTTTACATCTGGTGATCCGTTTATTTGTCAATCGCCAATGGCAGTCAGCAGGGTTTAAGAACATCAGTTGTTCGACCTGCTAGTCAAATGCGTTTTGTTAAAATATACTTTTTCACTTTTTTGGTCTTTTGGAAAAATGTTGTTTGTGCTGTATTTAGACCCCTCTAACAAGAAATTTGTTTTGCATGCACACGTATAAAAATTGCGGTTTTTATCCAACGCAATCATAGGTTTGAACGTTGTTTTCAATTTAGACTTGTTTATATATATATATATATATCATTGCATTTCATCAAGATTTATTCTGACATTTAGAATGGGTTACATCATGATGTTTAATACAATTATAAACTGTTGACACAGAGATATGTCTCACCTTTTTGTAATTTTGAGCGTATAATTTAAATGTTGAAATTAAAATAGCAATATTTAAACATGCAGACTTTGCGAAACATTCAAAGTCCATACACCATGACTGAGGGGGCAGACCCAAATGATCTCCATGGAAATGAGATGTGCCAATGCTTATTCATCTGCATACCAAATATCATTGACCTACCCTAGTGGTTCCCCATATCACAAACTTATACATTGTTGATGGCGACACCGCCGCTAGAAACAGCATGCCTATGTCTCGCTTTTTTGACTTTGTCGAGGATAGACAAAAATTGCTAAGTATGGAATATTTCAGTTTTAGACACTAATTTTTTTTTTTACTTTCCTTTCTTGATACAAACTCAAGAGTTCAGTTCATTTGTTACTTCCTGAACACCAATTTTGAGTTTAAAGACACTTCAACTGATTTCAATTTTACATCAGATGACTTGGTATTTTGGTCTAACACATCAATAATAATGTTGTGATGCTAAAAAAATTAAGAGAAAACATTTATTTCCTTAAATGGCAGACAAACTTGAAATAACCGCATTCTTCCATCAAATTCTTCTTACCTTAACTGAAGTTTCTGGTAAGTAGTGTGGATTCCTGAGTTTAGTTGTCATGTAGAACTTGAAGTCTTGTGAGTACTCAATGGTGCTGTCACCAAGCCTAATACACATACTTCCACCCTGTTTAAATGTCTGTTTCAGCAACAAAGGTTCCAACAATGGATCCAATTCTTCACCTAAATTCTCCATTAAAACCTACGATAGAATATATAAATAATTTTAACTCTTCAATTGCAAACGTGTGAATGACAAATGAAATTATTACAGTAAACAAAATGTTTGCTTCTTTAATAAGATAGCTTCTAATATTTTTGTGTTGTCTTTTTTATATCAACAGTTCATCTATAAAAAATAGTCTTTCCTTAATCTTCTCTAAGAATTAAATGTGTAAAACAAGAAATTACTTACTGGAGTTCCAAACTGTATACAATTCTCTAACGTTCTAACAAAATCAGAATCAGACAATTTGACAACATGCAGATTGTTAGCTTTTTCCATGTTCTTTATCCATTTATTGGCCTGACCCTGGGGATCTATCATCAAAGGCCATCTCCTAGCATTCCTGTTATAAAAAACATGTATGAGAGTTAATATCTGTCCAGGCTTTCATACTATATACCATCCAATTCAATTGAATTTAAATCGTTTTTCGTAAACCTATTTCTAAGAATTTCCATTGTGGTAAAAAAACGTCAAAGTCATGGCTTTAGTACAAAAAGTTGTATTTTCCGGTCATGACACATTCATATAATTCAGAAAAATATTTGAAGTTTTGGCGATAGTTTTTACTTGACATTTTCCATTTCACACAATGGTATTTATTCTAAAATGAATTTATTTTGCTTACGAGAGAATGATTCCATTTTCTACAGAGAAGTTGTCAGTTGGTAAGCCACAAATATTCCAAGCTCTAATTTTAACAGGTTCTCCTAAACTGGACACTAGTGAGAATTCATCAGAACATGGAATTCCTTGTTTCCTCACATCATTCAACCAAGTCTGTACTTGATCCTGTAAAAACACACAATGTTTAGTAGAATAAATAATCTAACACTTATATTTCATATGTATCTAAATATTGGAAATTTATTATTTCACTGAACCTTTATTAATCTCCGCTTAATTTATCTTTAGTTACCACTGCAAATTTACTTATTTTCGTGGATTAAAGAAAAGTCTTATTTTCCTTGATATCATGGATTTTCCAAAGTTTCCATACAAGCATATAAAAAATTCGTACTTCGTTGAACATCTAAATTTGTGGTGTTCCTCTACCAAGGAAATCCACAAATATTCGTATCCATAATGAATCCACAGTATTATATTATACCATAAAATTTAATGTTGTCCCCCATAAAAAATATTTTTTCATTTATAACAGAACAATCAATACATAAAGCCTGTCCCCTGAAGGAAAGAACCATACACTGTATCATAATTCAAAAACATAGTGTGAGATTGTCATTTCTGATACTTCAACACTTAGGTTCAATATAGCTGCAACTTTACAAAACATTTAAATCATGATGTTTTGATAATCTAATTGTTAAGTAACTTTTTGCATTTTTCAAATTAGTGTACAATTTATTTATGATAAAAAGGAGATGTAGGAAATTAGCTTGATTTGTGTATTTAAAAATAACATATTTTTGCAGATGAGCTTTCTGTAATAATATTGAAGTCAGCTGAGTGTTTTACCTGTCTGTAAGCAGATGTGAAAGCTCCAAGGTAGGCAACAGTTCCACTAGATACTAAGATATCTCCAGTTAAGTTAGTATACTTCGTAGCCAACATGCTAGCAGCAGCTCCCCATCTAAAATATATCAAAATAATCACTCAAATTCTTACAAAAATAATCAAAATATCAATCCAATAAAAACATCAATATATCACTCAAATCCTTACAAAAGTAGAAAAAAACTCATCTAAATCTATTACATTTTTTATTCGTTTCAATGATAAATCTTTATCTGACCTTCATTAAAAGTGCAGAATTTTTAAAATTCTAAATAAAAAGGTATTTTTGCTCCCCCCCTGTTTGCATTGTTAACATATATAGAGTCTAGTATTTGAATCTGGACAATCACAAGTATAAATTGTGAAAGGAAATAAAAAGAAAAGGTAAGAAACTATATATTCACCTGTCTTTTTCACCACCTAGACCACTGATCAGTTGCTCAGCTCTTTCTAATTTCTTTGTACAAAGGTCAACTTGATTCTCAAGGTCAGCTTTCTTTTTCTTGTTATGTGCCAAAGTATCTTGCAACTTAGATAATTTCTCTTGAACCTCTCTGAGTGAGGCACGTTTCTTCTCTAAGAATCCCATGGCAACTGATAATTCTCCCTCTGCCTTCTTCAATAACTCCTTCTTAGGAGCTACAACTTTCGCCACCCTAGAAACAGACAAATTTTGAAATTTAAATGGCATAGCTTGGTATGTTAATTCTGAAAGGAAACAAATTGTATGCAAATTACTTCCTTTATATTCATGACATTTGAATTGGTCAAGAAAGAAATTATCACTGATTTACTTGCATAGATGGCCTAAGCTTGATTTGGCTTTTCTTTAAGAATTTTTGTTTCTAATGCTCTTCAAAAACTGATTTGGCCTTCCAACTGTTTTGATTCAACAATAAAATCTCTGAACTAACAGATCATAATATATAAATCATTAAACAAAATAGTATTTAGACCATTTCACAAAGAACTCCTTTTGAGCCCTTTGGAATACATTACCCAAAATGTATTTAAACATATAATTGCTTTTTAAAGTTGAGATGAAGCATTTCTGATGAAGGATTATTAAGGAATAACAGTTCTATGTGTTTCAAAACCAGATATTAAAAAAAGCTCTTCATAAAATGAAAATAGAATTTACTTGCAGGAAAACTGGATAACACCTAAATGAGTAATTAGTAACTGCAAACAAATATTTACACCTCTCTTTTAATACATGAGGTGATACTGTATATATAGAACATTACCTGTCATAGACATCCATGGCTCTGACCCATTTACACAGACCCTCACAAGCACCTGAGGCATTACGAATCTTGTCTGGATCAAATTCTGGATTGGACATATATTTCTTACGAATCTGTGCAATGTTTGGCCCTGGAATGTTGTCCTAAATAAAAGAAAATATTCATTTAATTACACAAAGCTCATGTCGGGATATTTCTTAACATGAATAAGAATTTTTTTCCTGAGTTATTTAGCAGCAATTATGCCGGTACATACATAAATTCCACACTGTGAACAATTTAGTATAACTTATGAATTTTGATTGTAAGATTTTTTGTGAAAAGAGCCCCTGGTTATCAATTAGGCATATGCACCTGTTTTATGTTAAAGACTGAATGCTGACATGAAAATATCTTTAAATTGTTTGTGTAATAGGCTTGATGTCTCATTGATGTTTACCCCACATCTCCTTTTATTCAGACATTATCAAAAACTCCATAAGGAGGCTCATACTTATATTTACTGTCATGTGTAAACATACCTTATCAAAAGTTCTCAGTTGATCAAGGAACTTCATATCTCCTAACATTTTCTTGGCAGGGCCCCAGAAATCCTCTATTTTCTTGCCACTACCTGATGGATCAGGGACACGATCTGGTTTGATTCCTCTGATTACACAAACAGCTTCCATTACCAGTTTGACAGGTGCAGGTGGTTGTTTCATTGTCTTGACAAAGGTGATATCCTGTTGGGTCAGAGTATCCAAAGCAGCTAGAGAGGCATTCAGTGCAGGAATAGCCTCAGCCAGGTCAGCATCACATTCATCTTTAATAGCCTTGGCAGCTTTGGCTTGTTCATTGGCAACTGCCTCATCAGCTTTAACAACCTGTTGTTAAATAGTTCATTATTATCATTAATATACAAGTGATACTGCGAGCTACTGCTCACTGATGATACCCCGGCCCAAATACTTGATGGTAAACAGGAAGTTGTTGAATGATGAATCTGAAAACGCATCACACGGTATAGCTGACTTATATAAACCCTGAAACCAAATTTCAGAAATCCTTATGATGTAGTTCATGAGAAAAATGCGACGAAAAATATTCATGGGACAGATGGACAGACAGAGGTAAAACAGTATACCTAATAATGTTTTGCACACAACTTTGTTATGCCTTCTCTGTATGATACGATTATAGTCTTCACTGAAGGGTTAATTTGTTTTTTACTAATATAAATCTATGATATTGTCCAGTTTATATCTATCCTCTATATATATTCCTTTTATAAAAAGAAAATTCCATAGTGAGTTTTTGAAGAATTTCTTAATAAATATCCAAGCTTCTGAACATGAAAATTTCAGGTACAGAAAAAATCAGCATAACTGTCAGGGATTCTGTCTGTGATATTTATATCAACTGATTATATTTGTACATCAAATTTAGTATTAAGTGTCTATTTATTACCTTCTCAACTTTGGCTACTTCAATGGAATCTTTCTCTATGATAACCATTATCTCATCAACCTCTTTGCTGGCAACAACCAACTGAGGTTTTAGGTCAGTCAACTCCTTCTGCATGTCTCCAACCTGTGAGGCAGCTGATCTTAGTTTCTCTAAACCTACTTCATATCTCTTTTTCTGTTTCATTACTTCCCTGTAATTAGGAATTACTTGATAAATAAGAATCATAGTCAATCAATGAAATATTCTAAATTTTTTAAAGGTGTGAGTCGACAAGAATATGTGTTGATCACCTGCTCTGGGTCAATACATATTTTAGAAATTTCACTTTGACTTCATGAGTAACTACCTTAAACCAAAACTTTAACTTGAAAGAGTATTGATTTCACACTAACATTTTTTTGTTAAGTGAACTATGAATCTTGGGGTCAAAACCCTAATTTGGCATTTATCTTTGTGAGTTCACATCACAATGGACTCATGTACCAAGTTTCATGAATTGATCATAAATCATTACAGACAAAGAAATACAATTATTTTTCCAAAGAATGACCTCAGTTTTGTGAAGGGTGACCTTAGGATGCTTGCAAACAACCATTTTGGTATGTGCCATCAAATGTTTTATATTCTGACACAAAAATTTACAGTTCAATGGTTGAAAAAGGTGTATTGAATTTGCTGTAGAAAAAAACTTACTCTCTCTTTTTATCCAGTAGTGATTTAAAGGTGTTAATCAATTCTAGGTAGGATGTTGGTGTTACATAATTATGTCTCTCCAGTTCTAAGAAGAAGCGTTGTGACAGATCTCTTGTTGATGTATGGAATGTCTTACAAACGTCAATGCAACCTTTTCTTTCATCCTCCTCTAATTCTACTTCCTCTAAGAATCTGGTTGCTACAGCTTCCAAAGCATCTTCTGGCCATGTCTGAAATATTAGAAAAAATATATTGTCATAAGATTTTACGTGCATTAGAAGAATTGTGTTTTCTCAGCACTATGATTAGGTTGATACTGATTGGTTCATTTGGGTAAATAGGTCAATTAACAGTCAAATTCATATAAACTGTTTGAAAGTCAACACACAACCATTGGTCAATTTAATGTTGCATTTCAATAAGGGGATTGATGATGGAATACTAGAGACAAAGCTTTAAGAGGACTTATTATAACTACAACAATGTGCAGTGTATGATAATAAAAGAATTTACTTGTATAACGAAACTTTACTTTACCAATTGTAAGATATGAGCTTATCAAAAATCAATATAAAGAAGCATTTGTTACTGATTCTATCTGTACTTACCTGGAACCAATCGATTGTACAGCAGTTGACAAGTGAGGGGAACTTTCTTAGTCTGTCACGGAAAGCATCACCAATTGGACTCATAGCTAATACAATATGGAGCTGATCACGACAACGTTGAATGAAGAAATTAAACAGGGATACTGGGGTACCATCTGTTTGTTTGGCTTTGTCTCTTTGCCTGTAAAGATCAATGTATGCATTTATTCTAATTGTCAGTAAGATAATTTGCTTTACAATAAATATATAGATTGATACTGTTTAACATAAAATAAAATGTGAATATTCAAGGCAATAACATGTTGATGTCATAAGTAAATATCTTGCTATGTACAATACCAACACAACAAATCTGATTTTTTTATGTACTAGGTCACATATAACTGTCTGCAGGAAGATTTGTTACCCTACCCAGATTCTGAGCAAACTAGTCTTACTCCAAAATGATGTATGTTGGGAAGAGAAGCAACAAATACCAATCTTTAAGTTTTTGTCAAACCAAACTTAGATGGAACCCATGAACTCCCACACTCGAGGTCAGCATTTTTGCATTTTAATTTTTTTTCTTTTTACATGCAAGAAATTCTCCTTTAAAATAATTTAGAAGTATGTCTTTTTTTCACAATTTTTCAAAGTAATATTTGATATCAAAACTATAGACCAACTAAGCCAATGAAAGAAACAAAAGTTCAAATATACTGCTTATGCTCCTAATTTGACTAAATTGTTTATGGTAACAGTGAACAATGCTACTTGTGATACAATTGGTACCAGTTTTAGAATTAAGATGGTTGTGTGTTTGTAACTTATTGACTCACCTGTCTAGCTGTCTCATTTTTTCACAGATTTCTTGTTTTTCATCCAATGGGAACAAATTAGGAACTTCACCAGCATTTAACAAATTATTGATATCTTCCAAGAAGGATTCTTGTTTGATCTATAAAGTTAATTTGAAAATAGTGGTTATAGAAACAAATATACCTTAAAAAATCTATGAAAAATCTTCACTGAGTGTTTCAGCAAGATTTATGAAGATTCAGTTGTATGATCTATAGCTATTGGACCTGAATACTTCTTTCTAGGTATACATTTTGATATGTAAATAAATGAAATACACTGTTCAAAAGTATCAAAGAGTTTATTTTAAGGATTTTTTGGCGTGCATTAATGAGTAGGAAGTTATTTTGTCCCATCTGTGTATAAAAGAAATGAAATTTATTTTAACCACCTGTGTATCAGAGAATACGAAGTAGTTATAACCTACCTGTGTATCAGAGAATAGGAAAACAGCATGATTATCGGTTTCTGTTGATTTACGTAATATTCTTTTAATATCTTCTCTCCATTCAACACTAGTGTAACTCTTAGAAATCTCAACCTGTCAAAAAGTGAAAATAAAACTGTAGATGACAATAAAATGTAACATTTTGAATAACTAAAGGTAATGCAAACAATGTTTAATTTGAAATGTCTGAGAACGTTTTAGCAGTATGATTCATTTTGTGTGTGTACAAATATGTTGCCATCAGTTATGTTTTCTTCAATTGTTGTATTGGTTTATGATAGGAGGCATCTTGAACTTGCTTAATCATATGGTTTTTCTCTAATCAGTTTCCTTAATTCTTATATATTTTATATTGTCTCATATCTATTTCACTGACCAGCTTCAAAAGGGTAATATAATCTATATTTTACCTGGAAAAGGTCATAATCTGACATGTGTGCAGCTAAGCGTGTCAATGACTGACGACCTGAACCTCCAACTCCTACTAACAAGGCATGACTTCTTGGTTGTTTGATAATACGAGAAATTCTAGATACATGTTCAATAGCAAATCTATAATGGAAAATATAAACCACATGTCATTATACATCTTTTTAAAAACTCTCCTACATGTATAAAATAGAAGAGCAAAATTATTGCTTAACAACTACTAGTATAAAAGTATAAAAAGTTCCACTGACCCAATTATGTAACTATTTTCTTTCTTCAAACATCATATCAATAATCTTTATTCATATTCTTATTTTTTTCATATAAAGAAGTATACTTCTTGGATGAAACTTTTCTTTGTGATTCATTTTTTTCAATTTAAATGTTATTTGATCCATAGTATTGCAGGTAAAATCTTTATTTTTGCATAAACAATAAATTTGTGCTTTTAATACTATAGATTAAGTTACATTAATTCAGCTAAAAAAGACTTGCAAAGAATATAAAATTACCTGAATAATACAAGGTTCATTGGTTTTTTGCTCATATTATTGAACTCCTCCAGATACCCCTCTACAACATGACGTAACTGTTCCAAGTCTCTTACTTCAACATAATGTTTAGAATCTGACTTAGGATCTGCGAAATCACAGTACACCAAACTACGGAGATCATCCTCTGTAACTTTGCCGTCGTTATCAAAATCCAAATGAATAAATAACTGATCAAAGTCTTCACGCAATTGATTTTTGCATACGTCTCTTGCATAATTGAATAGCCAGTTACGATCAGAATCATCAACGAGACGATCATAGTACACTCTGAATACCTAAGTTAGAGAGAGTACACTTTTATAAACATTCAAAGAATACACTTTTATAAACATTCAAAGAATACAATTTTACAAAAATTCAAATACTGTAAATTCAGAAATTATTGCGAATAATGCTACTGGATGAGCATCGCAATAATAAGAACTCGCATTCTGATACCTGATACTCATATCTGTATGTAGATTTTCTGGAAATCGCAATAATTAAACTCACACTATTGTCCTTTCTTAAAAAATTGCAATAATAAATGCACGCAATAATTTCTGAATTTACAGTATTAACAATTAATAAGACTTAAAAATAACCACTTAAAAGAAGGTTAATTTTCATTTTTTTAAAACATAGATTTGGAGCTTTATAGAAGAATATACTTTAATCATGAGGATATAATAAGACATCAAAAAGGGAAAAAACTAAAACTGACCTCATGAACCCAGAGACGTTTCATTGAGGCTGGTTCTTCCATAGTTTCTGGTGTAGATAGTAAGACACCCTGTATAACTCTGCTAAAGTCTCTCAAGTTAAATAGATAATGTGATTTAGCTGGTGTTGGTAGTAAATTCTTCATAGCTTCTTTATAAATAGTTAATGTACCCTGTACTAGCTGGTCAACACATGGTTTGAATTCATTACTGAATCCTCTGTAAAAATATATAAAAATAATGTCAGATAACAATTATCATGTTAAACCCATACCAAGTTTAATGCACACACACCTTGAAACGTATATTTCTTCTTTCATGTATTATTCACATTAATATAACTTTTAAATGATGTAAATCCCATATAAACCTTGGAGAAATGATTTACTTCACAGCAAGAAGAATTGCCAGTTGGTCATTTTATTCAAATTTCTATGTTGAATGAGGTACATTTGCTTCATTTACTTAATAGCTTGTGTAATGCATGAATAATTTTTCTCATAATAACATATCCTGAATCTGAGTAGCATTAATATTGTAAATTATTCAATATCAACTAAAACAGTTCAATCAAATAACAAGAACATCAAAAATAAACATCATATTTCTCATTCCCCTAAATACTGAGGATGGGGTACCAATTTTTGTGGATTAAGGAAAATTAGGATTTTCTTGGATATTTGATTTCGTGCTTTTTCCAAAGTTCCCGATCAAGCATATAGAATGTGTTCTTTTTTAACATTTATCCACAAAAATTGGTATTCCATAAATAGTAATAAATCCAAAGTAGGTAAATACAATCTTTGATAAGATAATCATTCAATGAATATATACGAGAGTTCACAAAGGACACCAGTCCCGCAGCCAAAACAAACACTGATATACTGATATAAATTGTTGTATCTTTTAATACTAATTTTGGTCAAGTTGTAAATGATTTGCTTATTAAATGAAACACTTAAATCTAATGTTTTTTAAAGGAATAAAATGTAAAAGACAAAATGTCCATAACAATATTTGATGTGGCTACAAGGACCACTATTGATTGTTTGTGCATGAGAAACAAGTGTTTTATTGTATAACTGTAATCAATCTAGGAACAATTTCATACCCTCCAGGATTAGTAATAAATCTAAAAACATTCAATTCCATGTATAAATATATTATTGAAAACAATTTTTTTTTCTTTTTATTTTTCTTAAGGCTATTCCATCGACATGAATGTTGGAGTGCAGAAAGGAAGTTTTTTTTTTGACAAGAGTCATCAGTTATTCATTGTTGTTTGTATATTTGATGTGGCCAAATTACTAAAGAAAGTGGATTTTAGAAGTCCGTTCCTCTCCTCTAACATTTACTTTTATGGAAAAGTCCAAATGTGTAATTGTAGGCTACTAATACTTGAGTTTACTATGACGTAAAGGAAAAATTCTATTGAGAAGTCTCCCCTGATTATAACATAAACATAGAATATAAAGTTTTCCATGAGTGTCTTATCACATGCCAGTGGGGAACTATTGACATTCAGACTGAGTTAAAGACATTACTGCACATCCATTCTTACAGTACAATTGGCTTTACAAACCTTGCAGAAATATGCCAATCCAAAATCTTTCTGAAAATTGTTATCATACTGTCATCATCAAATTCATTAATAGTTATAGTATTGAAATGTCCAAGGAAGCGAGGTGTTACTGGATTTCTCCCACCACCAGGTGGTCCCATAGCAGCCATAAGTTGGATGTCAATCAGTTTAATGGGTGTGACCTCTTTTAGGTCATACCAGGTCCAATGATCCAACCACTGTCTCAGTAATTCAACTGGAGGCTGTGCTCCATAGGTTTCTCTCATTGGCATGTTAAGATCATCAACAAACACAATCTGCAACAAAATTCATAATAGTTTTAGTTTGATTTATTTAGTTAAATAACATATGTTCTTTCTCAATATTCTGCAAGTTTACATATATATAGGTCATGCCAGATGTATAATTGTGCATGTGTACTTCGAGCATAGGAGTAATCTTCGTTTGTTTGTTAACTGAATCCATGAATTCTTTGAGAGCTATTTGCACCTCCCATATACATTTTAATGGAATAGCCCTGGTAATAATTAATATAGTGTTCATATATTGAAAAATATACATACTGATCAATCAGGTTTTAATGTCATCTTCTAATGTTACCAGTAAAATAATTTGATTGGATACTAATGACTATTAAGTTGTAAACAAAGATAATTTTGACTTTCTGGTTCACCCAGCAGTTCATTGTTCATTTTACACACTCCAGTACATCTGCTGTAATCATCATTTACATGTTGTACTTACAGATTTCTTTCCCATAGGAGGTCCATAGACACCTTTTCTTCTCTTGTCTAGTTTGGACATGATAATATTCTGTGTCTGGTTGGCTGATGTCTGAGCTGAGAAGTTGACAACATTGGGCTTGTATCTTTCTTTGTCAAGTTTATTCAGCAAGAAATCCTACAATGTCAATTAGAAATATAATGAAAAACTTTACCAAATACTAATTTCAACATATCTTATAAATTAAGCTAATAGTTAATTCTCATTTGTTTAAAAACAATAAATTCAAAATAATTAAAAAACAATATATGTTAAATTTCCCCCTTCTTTTACGATAGAGGACCCTGCTAGCCTAATAGATATAAAGAGTTAACATCCCTGTCCCAACTTTACCATAAGCTTGGTCCTTAACATAACTCCAAACCTAACCTAAATAAATGGGGACAAACCAGGGAACCAGTCTTGTGTAAAATAATCTGCATTACTTACAGTGATGTAAACACTCTTGCCAGTACCAGTTGGACCAACAAACAGACATGGTTTCTGATGGTGCACCAACATACTCATAAGTACTTCATATCGTACTGTGTCAACTGTTGGTACAATAATCTCATTGAAGGTGATGTCCTTGGGAATTGGTGGACTGTCCTTAATTGTTTCACTCCATGCCACCCATTTTCCAGCTCCCTGTAAAATGTAAAACATAATTTTCATGTATTTGTTAATTCAAACAATTTTCAAGACTATAGTTTTCATTTTGCAAGTGTATGCAATTTGTCACAACTTTTAATGTTTTCAATAAAACTAAAGTTGTGCTTTAAATTTTCTTTATATTTACACTACAATAGTGAAACTGTCATCTGCCGCATGCAAGGCTAAAATTCCTAACAGGGACTGTTTCAAGATCTTCCTTTTAGGACATTACTTTAATCAATCTATCAGCAAGATACAGAATAATGACAAAAATGTGTTTTCAAAATTTTGATTCCAATATTATCCCTTAATCGTAAAAAAGCTTTTATTCCAAGTTTCATAAAATTCGGTGAAAATTTGACAAAATAACTGTAACTGATGTCTAAAAAATCTTCAACCTGATTATAATATCTTAATGCAAAAAACCTAATTCCATTTATCAGAAAATAAATGTTGACGAAGCGGACAATGGAATGTAGGATTGCTATGCCTCCCTGCTACAATTTTCGTCAAAGACAAGAAAATAAAAATGTCTCTTTATTTATCTTGGAAGCCTGGTATAGCCCCACTTTACAACTATATAATAATACTTACATCTTTTACAAATCTGTAATCATATATTTTGCCTTTAGGTGGGAATGGATTCAAATATGGTTTCATCGGAGGTTCTACTAGTTCAGCTAAACTCAGTTTTAATCTGGTGTCTTCTGACATACCTCCCTGAAAATTAAATTAAATCAAAATGCTTTAAAAATAAGATTTAAAAGCAATTAAATATCTTTGTTATTAAACATTTAATTCAATTGTGACAATAGCAGATACTGATTATTGAGCTAGCTTTAAATCAATATTACCTTTTTCTATAAAATTTCTCAAGAATAAAAATCCTATTTAAATACATGATGCTGGTCTTTAAACCAAGATAAAGAATCTATCTACTATTATTTAAATGGTGGAAGGCAAATAAATTTATCATTTTGTTTTTACTTTTTCTAGTATAAAAATAATGTTTTCTTTTACAAGAATAACTTTCAGTTATTGGTGAAAACAAAAATATTGAAATATACTATAATTTGCAGAAAAATATTATGTATGGCTTTATAAGTCATTTTCTACTATACTTACAGAGATCAATTCTCTGAGGAGTTTGTCAAACCTGACTCTTCCATCATCAGAACAACTGGCACCAATTGACCATGTGAAACCAAAGAAGAAAATGCTCTGAAATAAAAAAAAACAACAATAAGGTAAGTTTCATGCAAAGAAAAAAATTCAATATATATTAAACAAATAAAAAAATCCAGCTTTACTCTAAAATATTTCTTTCCTATTCTTTGAAAAATACACAAGAGGTTCATAATCTGAATTAACGCTAGACCTTTTTTGCCATTTAGTGTTTTTATATTCTATGTTCCCAAATTTAGGTCACCAAAATGTATCTAAGGCTATTTTTAGAACTGCTTCTTAACAAATTGACAGGTAATTTAACCTTCAGCTTTATCCTCGACTGACTGAATTGACATTACTTATTTAAGCTCAAACTATTTTACAAACCTCTAGCCATGACATAATCTCTCTCTCCTCCATCTGAGCAATCTTTGTCTCATCTTGGAATTCATCCATTAAACAATCCATCAGATTCATCAACCCTTTTACCATAGATGTGTCTGTCGTTGGTGATAATTCCTGCAAGAAATCATACAATTCTAAACATGTAATTTTGTATTTGTTTCAACTAGATAATAGAATACCAATATACTATCATTATAGGATGGAGTTGAAAAAAAGACCAAACTCAAGAGACGTATGGTATTTTATTGAAATATTGTATTTGCTTAAGGTCAATTGATACAATATAAAATATACCTGAAATAGATTTGTTTTGACTATTTGAAAAAGACATGATATATATATATATATATTTTTTTTTAAATTTTCAACAAAGAGATTTAAAAGTATTTACATTAAAATTCAATTTAATTTTCATTCCCTTAATGTTGACTTTGTTAAACACAAAGAAGCTACCAACTGTTGATTATATGTTAGGATAAGCATTATGAATCAATACCCCAGGTAAAATGAGAGAAATTTCTAGAAGATTCCCAATTTCCCTTTAAAAATGCATCATGATTCCTTATTATTGTTAAACACATTTGTTTTAGTATGAACATTCTATTCCCTTCCTAATTGCATGTCAACAAATTTCATTTTACCTATTAAATGCTCAGGGAAATTTTAGGTGATCATTCATCCAGAGCAATGTGACCTAGTTATTCAAAGTAAAAAATTCAGGCTTATTTAAAATACAGCGTATACTAGTTAAGAATCCAGCTTACCTTAATACCACCTTTTCTGACAAGTTGGAGTCCAGCATCAACAAATCTTTCAAACATGTCATTGACAGTTGATCTGTGCATTTCTGACAAGGATTTTGGCAAATCATTGAGCCATGATTTTACAATTGGACGCCACCCCAAAGTCTGAGGTTCCATGTAAATCATACCACACCTAGACACAGTGGCTGGTGAGGCCACCTCTAAGTCCATTGGTTCAAACATCAAATTAGTTGTTGGTGCGAGCTGGATAATTTCACCGCTCATCAAACACAGTTTTTTATTATCATCTAACACAGTGTTCATGTTTTCAATCCAGATAGCATCAACTGGGCCATCAAAGATCAACCATTTACGATCTGGTGTCTGTTATAAATATTATAAAAATATATTAGGGTTATTACAACATAAATTCTATCAATCTGTTTTTACTAGATAAAGATAAATTTTCCAATATACAATTAGTAATGAGCAATGTTACATAATGTATGCTAACTCAAGATTAAATTTGTGTATTTTGATGTAATTTTCTAAATGTTACTCAAAATTCAGAAATAATTTTTTTAATGTTTTTGCAAAATGTTAGTACTTTTATAGTCCTTATCTTGTAAACATCTGTGTAGGTGTGTTTTTGAAAGATCAAAATGGAGGTTGAACTTTTGCAAGTACAGGTATGTAATAAAATTTGATAATTTCTGCATTAGGTGAAATTCAAAGATTCTACTAAAAATAATATGACCAACTTACTGTTGATGAAGCAAAAGCTCTGTAGGATACAGCCAGGACACCATCTGACCACTCATGGGAAACTGGATCAAAGGCACCATATAACTGACCCATGGAGATAGCCTTGGGATTAATGACTGTGATCTGCACTTTGTTTTCTTCCATCAAACCCTGAAACATTCAGTAAAATGATAACATGAATTTAAATATTAGAGCAATAACTAAAAAACTTTACCGTATTTTCCTGCAACCTATTCAGAATATTGCTGTAGAATTAAAATAATGAAAGCTGCTAAAATAATTACTAAGGATGTTATTGAATATCATGAGTTGCAAATTTGGATAGCAACATAGTAGCTTAAGTGGAATATTTGTTTTTATTTTTGGCTTTTCTTTTGTCTTTTTCTACTTATGTTAGATTCTTTCTATATACTGGAATTATTTTCCAGTATTTTTTTTTTATTTTAAATTTCCATAAGTTATGAATGTCGCGATTCAAATGGATGTTCTAATGTTATCTGGGTAAAAGATAAAAGTTCCCTCCATATTTACAACAATATACATATTTTCTGCAAATGGTCAAATCTTTTTGATTTAAGTGAGAGCAACTTAAAAGATTTGAGAGTTACTGAAATCACAATTGCTAGAAGCAACCTGAGACTCAGTTTTTTGTATGAGCATCTTTGCTTTCAACAAACAATCCATTTTTTTAAAAAGCTTTAATTACAATTGGAATATATTTTTTTTTAAAGAAAAGTTTGATAAGGTTTCAAGGCTACTTACTGCTTCATGGATGTCTCCTAAAGCTAGTGCCAAAGTTTTGTATGCTGCACTTTTGCCACCAAAGGGTTCACCAACAATCATGAAACCGTGACGGACAATCATCATCTCGTAAACCTATAAATACAATAAGTACAATCAAAATATAATTAAAAAAAATTAAGAGATAGGCAAATAGATTTTCCTTTCCTTCACTAGTTTAATTATATCTTTCTCAACTAGCTGGTAAAAAATTCATTAAATATATCTCTATAAAATCAAAAATATGAATTCTTGAAAGCAAAATGTTTAATATCCAAGAAAATTGAGAACACTTAAAACCCAAATGTTAGTTATGCTTACTACATAAGTATATTCAAAAGAAAATTGAGTAATATTACTAACAGAATTATACAGTTATTGCATGAATATTGGTGAATATTGTCTTGAGAAGATTTTTATATTGCATGAGTTGGTCATGATCAGTGCAATATATATTTGACGAGAAAAATTTTCATCAATATTCATGCAATAACCCTTTATTGTATAGCAAAGCTTGAAAAAAAATGTGTCAAGCACATCTTTATCACTGATAATTTGAAGCAATATTTGCACTAGTTCAATATCATTGAACATTGCGCACTAACTTTCTGTCACATTCTGTGGAAATATTACAATGTGCAATTGAAATAAATTAAATATAAAAGCAAAAATTTTGATTTCATATGTGCTTTGAATATTGTCAATTAACCAACCTGTTGGATCTTCTCCAAGAAGAATGGTACACATTGTAGATTTTTCTTATCACAGTTGTTCCTGATATGCTCGTTCAATATCTTGTAATCTGGTTCTGGTAGTTTGACACCAGGGAACAAGTCAGATGTAATACCATGGAAAAGGGGTAAGTCATGATTCAAGAATTTGGGTAAGTTGACATCAATGATGGATCTCAACAACAGTATGTTCTCATCTTCATCAGGATATTTCAGCTGAAATAAAAAAAAGTATGCAAATTTGTAAATGATATTTTGTAGTTTATTATGAATATTATTATAGCAAAACAATTATGAATATTATAATAAAACAATCATATATTTGAATTTTTTTATGGCAATTGGTCAAAACCCATGTAACTATTTTATTTCTAGTGGGAAACATGAATTAAGTATTCCACACAACCTGCAAGAATCAAAACCTGCAATATAAATGACAGACAATTATTATTATTTAATATTAAGATTAGGTAGACAGCTTGAGATATCGTAATAAGTGACTCACCTTCAGATTAGCAGCAGCAGTAAGCACAGATTTGACAGCTCTCATTCCGTAATCGTAGTGATGCTGGGATGATAACTGTTCTGAACAAAGTCTGTAGACAGCTACGATCTTTACAGACAAAGGTCTGGCTTGTACAAAACCACAAGAATACAGGGAAATCTCGGCAATCAGAGCATAATCTGGTACCATCATAGCAACAGTTCTGAATAAAGCTTTCAAATTGTCTGGAAGTTCAGATCGTCCAGCATAACCTGGGTTCATTGTAATGAAGACAGAGCATGTTGGATCAAGTTTAATTTCTGTACCTTCAAATAGGAGAGTGGTCTGTCCAGCTACGATACCTCTCTGGATGGTCAAAATCTGTTGGGCAACCACAGACAACACTTCCAAATCAATTCTGTTGAACTCATCAAAGCATGACCAAGCACCACAGGATGCCAAACCCTAAAGAACAAAACAATAAAGTATTTAGTAGAATAAATTTTGAACATGAATCCTGTATCCTGTGCAAGGATAACTCAGCTTTTGTAAAGCATGTAATCAATGGTAAGATTTTAATAATTCTGAAACTATTTTTCTCTGTGCCTATACATCTGCAATGATTACATAAAATTTACTAATTTTCAGATAAATAAACCAGCTTTGAGCTTTGTCAGCAATTGAAGGAAATAATTTTTTTTTTCCTAATTTCGTAGCCTCACCCCAGAAAAGATTTGACATCTAAAGTCATTGTTTTGCAAATGTCATCAGGTCAACCAGTGCAAAATCAAGGTCATTCCAATTAAATCCCAGACTTCTAATTGGTGTTCTATGTTTATCACTTTAAATACAAAGGTTTTTTACCAATGATCACTTTAAATCATTCTGTTAATCAAAAAGCGTATATTTTTTACAAAAGTTGATGACTTCCTATCTAGAATTTTACCTCCACTAAGATTCACTGAATGTAAAAACAGTAAAATGAAGTCTCACAACTTTTACAGTGTAGTATTCAGCAACAAATAACAATGAGGGAAAATCTCATTCACAGCCTACCTTGAAGAATTTTCCCAAAGCAATGAAATCGAGACCATCAGAACAGTTAAACACAACACACTGTTTAGCTACAGCTTTGGCCAGATCTTTTGTTGTTTCTGTTTTACCAGTACCAGCAGGTCCCTCTGGGGCACCTCCTAAATGTAGATGTAAAGCTCCAAATAGGGTTCTAAAAGGGGGAAAAAAGGTTAAAGAGATAAATTAAATATACATGATAAAAAAACTATACTATGTAAGTAAAATATATAATAATCATCTACATCACTGAAAAAATGATCAAACTACCTGGATCTACCTGGATTACTGCAGCGATCTTTAAGTTGAAAACTTCTTTAGCCGCCTCTAGGTAAATAATTTTCTAAATAAGGTTATCGCCACTGTATGACATAATCAATTGCATAAATATTGATGCTTTGTCACAATAAAAAAAGCAACCAAAAGAAGAATTCTATTGTAACCTTGCACTTTTCCTAAAATTATAGGACTTGGGGTTGATATTTTACTTAAAATAGTATAATAGTATACCTGTAACATCTATCTGTTAATGGAGTGATAACAAGACGTCCAGTATTTCCTAGGTATTCATAGCCATAGTTAAGCTGGGAGTTGATCATCCTAGTTACCATTTTCTTTTCTTCCCAATAATATCTCAGCTGACTTAACCATGCAAAGTCCATATCACTGCTGATTTTTTGTTCAACCAATATTGCCAACACATCTCTGGCATGGACATCCAATACAATCAAAGCTTGCAATGTGACACGGTTCTGTTTTGACAACTGACCTCTTACCATTGCTACAATATTATTGATCTGCTCATTACTGATTTTCAGATAACCAGCTAGTGCATCACCACCCTTTTGCATGGCAGCATGAATGTAGTCTGTCCAGTATTTGGCAGTCACACAGAGTACAGCTTGTCCTGGCCAGGTCTTGACCCATTGTTCTCTTTCCTCCTTGATATAGGCATCTACTGCTTCTTCCGTTACCTAAAATAACATTTTTAAAACAAATATAAAAAAAAATTTTATTTATTGGTGCCAATTTTCTTTATTATTTAACATTCCTGAAGATAGAATTTATGGTTTTAACCTTCGAACAAAAAAAATCTTTTGTTAGAAGGAATTAGCTTTTCGTCATTTTACATGTTCAATTTTAACTGACTGTAACATTTAAGTACACATTAACATATTACCTTTTGCAGTGATTTGATCATGTCCGACTCCAGTTCTAGCAACCATTTTTCGACTTGACCTCTAGCCTTTGATGTTGAGATGGTATCGCTCAAAAGGACAACTTCACCTTCACTACTCTTCATGTGGGTTATATCTAAAGTGTCTGTAAACTCCAGGCTATTAATACCTTCAAAGCATTTCTTCAAATGAGGCTGTACTCTAAAAATTAAAGGAGAAAACATTATTTCCTTTTGCATCTCTTAAAATCAAAAACCTTTAAAAGGCAAAGAATAGACAACCTTTTGCCAGATGGGGTCAAATTCAAACATGACTGACTAGAGTAACAAATGCATATTGAACAAAGCAAAACAATTTACTATAATGTGCCAAACTTTTGCAATGGTTTAATTTTTCACTAATTTTGTGATTTATAAGATAAATTGCTAAAAATAGCTTCTTGTGTACATTTGATCTTTCAGGATGATCAGAATCACAGTGAGCAAAGACAAGACAACATCTTTCCAGATGAAGGCTGATCAAGAAATTAATGAAACAAAATCAATCATTTTTATCTTACACAGCTCAAAAATTTCTAAGAGATATTGATCAAGGTCACAAATATCTGCAAATTTCCCTATACTTATCATATATATATAAAACTTATATCCAGAATGCATACTGTAATAATAGATGATTATTTTGTGCATACTGTGGTTCATTTATTTTTGTGAATTGAGGAAAAATTTTATTTCCATGGATATTTGATTTCGGGGTTTTGTCAAATGATTCGTCAATCTTGATGTTCTTTATTTGATAGCTTTATTCTTACCTCTTGGGATCTTTGGTTTCTGACAGAATTTCCAGTAATTCATCATTAGACAAGAAGAAAAATCTTGGGAAGTACAGTCGTTTCTTCTCCAAATAGTCATTCAAACCCTGAAATATAGTCAACATTACAGATCTTGACTCTTTCTCAAGTTTTCCTTACAAAAACAAATTATGAAAGGAAAAATCTTTATGTAAAATTGTCATGTATAACAACCAACATCCAACACTGCTTTCTTCATATTTTTTAAAATCTTTTTACCTTTTAATTCAAACACTCTAATCTGAATATGCTTCCATTCTCAATTTTATTTACTTTTTCAAAATCTTTCAGCTGCTGAATTAAAAATTAAATGAGACATCCATAAAGTCTAAGATCAAGTTACCCCATCAAACTTTCCAATTTGACCACTACATCAAACTTTTTTCCTATTTGAATAATTTTGAATTGGACAGTTTACAATTTTTCATAATGCTCTTGTAACAATCTAAATAAAATGACAACTTGGAAGAAATTAGTTTACATTTAAATGGCTTCTGTTCAAATATTGTCCACCTGCTCATTAATTTATCCAACATCAAAGGGAAACAACTCTCAAAATCGACACAAATGCACCACATTGCATAGCAGTAAGTTCATTATATATGTCAGTTACCTTTTGAATAAGCTCAAGCAACTCATTGGATTTCTTCAACCCATCCAGTAATTTATCAATTTCAATGACTGCTAGTACATGTTTATCAAGATTGACTTTCTTCATTATTTCTCTCCAGTTTTTGTCGACAGTTGTGAATCTCCTTCCTTCCTCTGGCATCTGTGCCATGATGTCAGGAGAGCTGAAGATAGGTTCCAGGTACAACCAGGTAGCTTGTACCTTCAACCATTCATCCAAAACATCTTGTAACAGGATCAGCTTGGATTCCCATTCTCTGAAGAAGAAGAAAATATGCATGATGTTCTCAAGTTTAACTAATTCTTATTATAGGAACATTTGTCATGTACACTTAAAGGGCAGGTTAAGCAAGTTTTTATTTCTGTCATATATGCAAGAGGGTCTGGATGTAGTCCTTCATTTCTGTCATATATGCAAGAGGGTCTGGATGTAGAGTCCTTCATTTCTGTATTCTTTAAATTTTAAGGTCATTTTTTTCTGTTCCTTATATTTTTTGCCCGTTATTCTCCATTTTTTCCCCCATTATTCTCTATTTTTTCTTTTTTTTTGGTCCATTATTTTCTATTCTGTAAACCACATCTAAACCTTCATGCATAGTACAGGGCAAAATCTACATAATACTTACTTAATTTCCTCTTCAAATGGTTTGATAAATGGAGAACCTCTCATGGTCTGTGTTTTGACAATGTGATCATCAAGCAACAACTGAATATCATCTACAGATGACAGGATGTTGGTTCCTGTGTCACGGTATGGAATAGTAATAAGCTCCATCTACAAAAATAGGGGTTCTTAAGAATTATTAAAAATAAAATAAACATTGATAAAAGCAAATTTGATTAATCATAATAAAAGAGGATACACAATATTTTTATTCCTGCATGCAACTATTCGTATTTGGAAAATAGATACCATATTATAAAAAAATTAATGAACTAGTATATAGTCCTATCAAAATTCAAAATAGTAGTGAAATAAACATGCTTTGTTCTTTTGTCCTTTAGACATACTAAAATGCAGTGAAAATACCAAAATGCTAGATTTGAACAATGGTCATCTTTGAAGGGCATACATAGAATTAATGATATGTCAATTGTCATAAATGTTATGAAATGAGAAGAAAATGTTGTAAAGGGAGATCATTGATGTTGAAAGGGGAGGTTATTTGTATTGAAAAGGAAGGTTATCAATCTTAAAACTACTTACAGGTGCCCATTCTTCTTTCATCTTTTTCATGGCCTTCTCCAATGAGAATTCCTTACTTGCTGCCTCACTAATGGACTCAAACTTTGGAATAAACTGGTCCAGACCCATCTCGACAAACTTCTTGAGGTTATAGGTCTCATCAGGACGTAATGGTGGGTCTATGTTACAGATCTCAGAGATCTGGTCCCAATGACGATCTCGTATACCAGGGTTGAATAAGGTCTGGATAAGTGGCATGTTTTCTCTGAAGTCTTCAACTGTAGATTTCACCTATAAAAGAAGAGATATTAAAATTAGAAACTGGTTTGAATTCCTTAAAATTCATGCTAATGAGAATACAAACTTTTAAATGTTTTTTGTACATTAAAATTGAATCATATTTCAACAACAAATAATGAACTTTTAGTGAAAATTATTAAAAACTGAAGAGGAATTGTATTTTTCTGCTTATTTCAAGTGTTAAAAGTTTCATATTATCAATTAAGTTACACAAGTTAATATGAATTGCATGGGTAAAATAGATATGAGGGATTCTTCAATATGCTGGAGCAAAACATTTCATTTACAAAAAATTCCCTGATAGTATATTGAATATCTTTCATCATTGGGGAATTTGTGAATATATGAATTTAACTCAGCATTACAAATTGCATAAAGGGAAGTGTCCATAATAAACTTACCTTTCCTGCCATTTTCTTGGCTTGTGGGATAGAATCAAACTGTTTTTCTAGTTTATACAGAGATCTCCAGTAATTGCCAACCTCATTCTCAACATCATCGGGATCAACTCCGACCATTGGACCATTCATCCAGTCACTAAACAAAATCAAAATAAGAAATTATTATTTGTATCATAAAATGAAAAAAATTACAAAAAAAATGAATAAATAATTGCATTTCTTTGTCAACTTCGATGAAAGAGCAAGTAAAAACACATATACAGTACAGTAGACTCCACCTAATCGGATATCGGCTAAACGAATATATTGGCTATTGTAATATTATTTCAAAACACAAAACCCTTCCCTATATGTTTAATGTTAATTTTATCGTGTAATCGAATATCGGATATAAGAATATATCGGCAAATCGGATAAGAATATTCAGGTCATTTTGTTCAAAACCATGCACAATCGGATATTTTCAATGTTTTTCTGACAGGAAATGGACCCGGAAGTTACGAATTTACAATCTTGCAGACAAGAAGATTTTGTTTTTACTAAATAAAAGGAACTATTTCTTAATAAATTGTTGTCTTTAATCATTGTCTTCCTTTGTGTGAATTAGATGCCCTTTTACTTCAAATGGTTTGAATTTATTTATAAAATATGCAAGACTCAGTTGACAAGTTGACGTTGCTGTTTGGAGAATTTTGATTAAACTCTAAATGTTCACAGAATCAGAGATATAATCTAAACTGAATGTACCTCCTTCTGAATAATTTATTGCAATATAAATATAAATCCCTTTTGACAAGAGAAATCTGACTTTTGTCAGATGTATTTTTTTCACATGTGCAAAAGTAACCACATGTCATGGACGCCATTTTGGATGTTTACAAATTTGTGAGGAAGCCTCTAGAACTATGACCTAAATTCAAATAGTCTTCAGAAAACGTAAACTTTATGCAATAATAATTTATCAATCATGATTATTTTCATAAATTTAAATTTGATTATTTAAAGAAATAAAATTATAACAAATACGATTTTAGTTTGGAGATTCTACACAGACATGCTTAGATCTATTTATAGCCAAATTAGTTTATCTGTGTGATAATGTAAATAATGGATATTAATTTGCTTACAAAACAAATAAAGACAAACTATGGATGGTAGATAATAATTCACATAAATATTTCAGGACATTTGATTTATTTTAATAAATAAAGGATTTAAAAACTGCAAACAAATTTAATCATTACATAATCAGCTGATAATTTTTTACACAAACATTGTGGTGATGTAACTGATAAAAATCACTCCATCAATCCTCCAGCCCTTTCACATATTTAGCAATTGTCAGGGTTAGTAACATCTCAGGATTATATCTACTCATTATTGCAGAATATTCAATGAATATACATTCATCGTCTAATTGAATATATCGGGTAATCGGATATTTTTAGCTGACATTTTGGGTATCCGATTTGCCGGAGTGTACTGTATATGTATACATCTTTTTTATTTTCTAACTGATCATTTGAACTCGATTTTAAAATGATAAAAATTTAAACAAGTCAAATTCTTAATGTGCCTGTCCTAAGTCAGTTATTGTCTGTCATTCTTTTACATTGTTTCAAATTTTGTCATTCAGTTGCCTTTTATAGCTTACTATATGGTTTGGCTTTTTGGAAATTGTTGAAGGCTGTACCGTGACCTTTAATGGTTTCTGTAAGATAGTTGTCTCATCAGCATTCATACGATATCGCCTTATTTCAATATAGATATTTTGTTTTGAGGTACTGCAGAAGATTCTTTTACTTACTTGTGTTTATTCTGGAACTCTACAGTCATTTCATACAGATTAAGGTATGGTTTTAGTGTATTTAAGATGGTCTGTCTCTGGGGATACTGTGTAGTATTCCAACCAAAAGCTTCTTCTTCATTGTTAAAGGCTTCAATCTAAATATTGTATAAAATCAAATTTGAAAAATATATATTATCTACAAAATTATGACTCAAAATGTGCAATAAGCCTTATGATAAAAGGGAACAAATATTTGTATCTTTTGTTTTATTTGAAGATAACAAAAAAATCATCAGACATCCAAAAGTCATAATTAAATGATGAAATTTTACTTATAAAACATGTCAAGTCCAACATTTAATAGTAAAACATATCTTTGAGGTATTTTTGGTAAATATTGTGAACGCAAACTATATTCTATATATTAGTAGAGGAGCACATTCTTCCAGTAAAACAAGTTTTGTCTAGGTGTATTTTTTTTTTCCAAGCTAATGCCTGTTTCAATAATAAGCTTGAATTGATATTTTTTTTACCTTTTCTGCAGCAGCTTGAAGTTTGGCATCCAAGTTCTGTGATTTCTTCAAGTATTTATTGATCTCATTCAGATCACCATATGTAGAGAATTCTTCCACCTGTTTCAGGTAACTGTCCAGTTCTTCCTGGAATCTCTCTCTTCTCACCTGATAAAGATAAATGAAAAATGCACTTAAAAGTTTTGAAGTTTTTCATAGCTAAAGCAAACTGACGGTTGAACATGAAAAGTTAAAATATTGAAGCAAAAAAGAAGTTAACTATTTAGGAACAAAGTAAAAAGTCTTGGAAATCCAAATTAGTATACTATTCCAGTGATGTTAAAAATACCCCGCAAAAAAATGCCAATGAAGTATTGTACCATTCTTATACTTTGTAAACCAAACTTTAAATGAAAACAGGGCCTAATCTTCTTTCATTTAAATATGTCTTGTGTGAATTATCTCAAACTAATAAATGATGCAATCATTGCCTATAAATTCAGAAATCAAGGTATACTGCATTTGTTAAAGCATATCATCAAAGTTGAATGAAGTCAAATGTTATAATGCATTCTGTTAGCATAAAATGATCTTAAAAATGTATGTTTTATAAAATGGGATCTGAACCCAGTCAAGTTTTTTTGCATTAATAAAATTACCAAATTTAATTTTGATGTTACAGCACTGTACTTTACTAAGGAGAACATTAAGGATAAGTTACACACCTTCAGGGAATCTTCATATTGATTTCTCTTCTCAGCAACTATCACTTTATGTTCATTAAACACAGCAGGCATTCTCTGGTGCCAGATAAACACACCAGCGTTCAATTTCAGATCAGCAGACTGGAATGTGGTATGATCAAACAAGAATGTTAGACGGTCTTTTGACTCCACTAATTTCTTCTCTAATTGGAAGATAATGTCTGATTCGACTTTTTCTATGTATACTTTGAGTTCCATCAGCTGTTCAGTGTTAGCTGGTGTTGTTAAGGCTTTCTGAGCAATCTCCTCATATTCTTTCTTCAGTCTGAAAAATAGGAATTAATCAAAATAATAATTTAAGAGAAATATAAAATACAAGAATGTGTCCATAGTACACAGATGTCCCACTCGCACTATAATTTTCTATGTTCAGTGGACCGTGAAATTGGGGTCAAAACTCTAATTTGGCATTAAAATTAGAAAGATCATATCATAGGGAACATGTGTACTAAGTTTCAAGTTGATTGGACTTCAACTTCATCAAAAAATCCTCTTGAAAAAAAACTTTAACCTGAAGCGGGACAGACGAACTGATGAACAGATGGACGGACGAACGAACGAACGGACGCACAGAACAAAAAACATAATGCCCATAAATGGGGCATAAAAACTAATGCTTTTAATATGGAATTTCAATATTGTTAGAACATGTAAAAATAATTCTTTGGTTCTATAAAATAGCTGATTTAAATTGTTGACAGGTATGTATTTACTCAATGCTTAAACATGACTGAATTTTTATCCTTACCTTTCATTTGCTTCTTTGTGGTCTGTAAGCATTTTAGACAGAAGTTTCTGACACAATGCTTCTGCTCTCTTTGTCAAGGTTCTAATCAGTTCTTCACAGTTAACTTCAAACATACCCAGACGAACAATCTGTTTAACAAAATATCACATTAAATATAATGCTTATCAAAAATAAAAATTTTATAAAAACAGAAAGTAAAAGGGTAAATATATTGTACAATAGGATCACAAGGTCAACACTGAAGGTTAACATTAAAAATGAAATAATAATATTTCTTAGCAGTTAACTTTTTTTATTTTTGTTGAAGAACAAATACTACAGGCAGTTTTAAAGACATTCATAACGAAAAGGCTCATTTCTGTAATTTACATCTACATGTATGTTAAAATATTTGTTGGTCTTCTAATTTTAAATTTGTCCTTGACCTTTCCTTTTGGATTTTACTTTCTTTAAATTTCATAACCAGATATCAAGTGTCAATGAAATAATTTTAAAATTTTCTTTTAAATGGAAGGACTATAGCTAGCACCAATCTTTAATATAAATGGCTGAGAAAGGGCACTAAAAACTAAAATGTTTCTTGTTCATATTCCTGTTGTAAGCATTAAAATGACTGGACTCTGAATACAAATTGCATGTTATCATTTTTTTGAAGTTTTGAGTAGTAAATGAACAATAGCTTAGAGGACTTTTTAGAGGGTTAATTAAGTAATATTTTATGTAACAATGTTAAATGTGATGAGAATAAAGTACAGAAACAAAACAGGGAAAATTAACCAACACCACATTTCCGATACATACTACAACATATAGAGAAATCATCCAAAATGATTCTACAGGTTGGCATTTAATTCTTGTCAAATTTTATTTAATACATAGAATAAGTTGAAACAAACATACAATGTGTTAATCACAGCTCTGATCAAGAGTTTCCATCATAGCAGTGATGAACAAGTGATTACTATGATTAAAAGTTTCAATCAAATTTATGATAATAATGATAGCAATTATGATCACATATATATATGCTATGAATAACTTTATACGAATATAAAATTCAGACATTTTATCGTTATAATGCATCCTTTTTTTAAAGCTTGTTGACTAATTATTTTCCTTTTGCATTCCATGGTAGCTTTCAGCAAACAAAATTAAAAATCTGCAAAATTTTGTATAAGAAAAAACAAAACAATAAATGCACATCTAAATATAAAAGTTTGGTAATCCTTTGCATTAAAAACGATATTGGAAAACACATTTTCCTATAATTACTAATAACTGAAGAAATCACAAAGATTTGTGACAAAGTATGAGAAAATATGCTAAGCACTGTCTCAGATTTTCACTTTTCTTTTTATTTCAAACTGAAGAATTTCAATACAAGAATTGTAATAAGTAAATACGATAAAATCCTGAAGTAAATCCTGAAAATACTAATCTGAGACAGATCTTCTGCAATTGAAGAGAAAAGAAAATATATCTACAAAGACTTCTATTGTCAAACTCATTGTGAAAGTCATCACAGATTTTATACCTTTCGCATCCCTGTCTGTGTCGTAATGATAAAAGAATGTGAAGGTTAACATTAAAATAAGTGAAATATATATATGCTGACCATTCAAACATTCAAAAATCTACATTTTGCTTCAACATACTTTCATAAGAGACAAAAACAAGATCCTTAGCAATTGAATATCAAGATAGAGTTTCTTAAAATTCAAATCAACACGTTATTTTCCTACTGTGTCTATTAAAGCAAAATTTAAATAACAGAAAAACCTGATAAAAAGAGAAGGATATTTTCAGTGTAAAATTTTAATAACACATCCTCACTGATAAGTATGTTATACAATTATATTCTCATTCTAAACTACAATATATATATATATGCGTCCTTCTAGTTATTGTGAGCAAGCTAATAGTAAGTAAAAAACATGCAAAAATATTACATAAACAATACTTTTTATTAATCAGATTATCTGCTTAGAATCGAATGTAGAAAGCAGAATAAATTTGTTCTAAAAAATATGTAAGACCAGTCTTTACTGAACCCTCAGTAACCTATTAAAACTGAAATCTCAGTAACCTGTCTAAAGTGAACCCTCAGTAAACTGTCTAGAAGGAACCCTCATTAACAGGTCAAAGTGATTCCTTTGATGTCATGACTTATAATTAAAATTCTTCACCTATCTAACCTGCATAAACTAAACACCTTTCATATTTTAATGAAACCTTTATTTTCAAAAGCGGTTTTTAGACAGGTTTCCATTATTTGTAATAACATTAACATGATCAATTATCTTTCTCTTTGGCATTTTTTAGAGTTGACATTACTTCTGAAGTACCATTACTATTTTTCTGTTTAACCTTAAAATTTTTAATCTAATTGGCATGCAACAAAGTAGTGTTGATCATCTTCCACAATGACTATAGTACATTCACAACTGCACAATAAAGGTGAGACAAAGCCTTTTCACAAAACACCTATAGTGATTTATACCAAATCCTCTATCTAGCAGATTAACAAAATCAAAATGTCAATTATATATAGTTAATTAATAAAAGATTACTCCCCCTTGAATTCCTACAAGACTCATTCATTGGGTGTCGCCTTTGGCATTAACATCACATAAATTTTCTAGAAAAATCTTTCTGAATATATTGAGAATAAATCTAATCAAAAACCGTCATATGCGTGCACAAAACATGATTTTTTTAATTGTCTTTTTGACTTAATCTGAACAATCCATGTTAATGTTTTACTTTGACTTTTCTAAAGAGTAATAAAATGCTCCGCAGGGCGCAGCTTGATACGACCGCAGAGGTCGAACCCTGAACAGTTGGGGCAAGTATGGACACAACATTCAAGCTTGATACAGCTCTGAATTTGGATTGTGATTAAATATTTGACACAGCATAGGTTTCTGACACAGAATGAATGTGGTCTAAGAACTTAAAAATTTTAAATTGGACATTCACCTATTATGGTCCAATATCCAAAATCTAAATACATGGTTAGATTCAGCATATCAAAGAACCCCAAGAATTCAATTTTTGATGAAATCAAACAAAGTTTAATTTTGGACCCTTTTGACCTCAATGTGGACAAAGTTGATAACGGGGCCCAAAAATCAAAAATCTAAATACATGGTTAGATTCAGCATATCAAAGAACCCCATATATTCAATTTTTGTTGAAATCAAACAAAGTTTAATTTTGGACCCCGATTTGGACCAACTTGAAAACTGGGCCCATAATCAAAAATCTAAATACATGTTTAGATTCAGCATATCAAAGAACCCTAAAAATTCAATTTTTGTTAAAATCAAACTAAGTTTAATTTTGGACCCTTTGGACCTTAATGTAGACCAATTTGGAAACGGAACCAAAAATTAAGAATCTAAATACACGGTTAGATTTGGCATATCAAAGAACCCCAATAATTCAATTTTTGATGAAATCAAACAAAGTTAAATTTTGGACCCTTTGGACCTCAATGTGGACCAATTTAAAAACGGGGCCCAAAATCCAAAAACTTAATACACGGTTAGATTCAGCATATTAAAGAACCCCAAGAATTCAAGAATAAAACCCCATTGAAATTGATCAAGAAATAAGCAATTTATACGAAGTATCTTCTTTTGCACAATACTGTGCAATTGAATATTTCTTGCTATTGTGCAATACTGTACAATTGACAATTTCTTGCTATTGCGCAATATTGTGCTATTGGATATTTCTTGCTATTGCGCAATACTGTGCAATTGAAGATTTCTTGCTATTGCGCAATACTGTGCAATTGAAGATTTCTTGCTATTGTGCAATACTGTGCAATTGAAAATTTCTTGCTATTGCACAATACTTATTATATAATAATTTACACATCCTGTTTGGTGTGTATCTCCTACCATATCATTATTATTTGCTTTTAAATATTAATCAGAAATAACCAACTTAAAATGGAAAATTTTAAAAGAAAAAAAAAGGAAAAAAAGAAAAAAAAAGAAAAAAAAAAATCCTCCCCCCAAATTTTTTGAACCCCCTTATGATTCATCACCCCCAAACTCAATCCCAGCCTTCCCTTTGTGGAATGGTACCTTGCAGTACAATTTCAGAGAGATCCATACACTTGAACACAAGTTATTGTCTGGAAACTAGAAAAATGCTTATTTTTGGCCCCTTTTTGGCCCCCAATTCCTAAACGTTTCGGGCAATTACCCCCAAACTCAATTCCAGCTTTCCCTTTGTGATATGGAACCTTGTAGTACTATTTCAGAAATATCCAAACACTTACACACAAGTTATTGTCATGAAACTAGAAAAATGCTTGTTTTTTGCCCCTTTTTTGGCCCCTAATTCCTAAAATTTTGAGGCAATTACCCCCAAAATCAATTACAGCCTTCCCTTTGTGATATGGAACCTTTTGGTACAATGTCAGAGAGATCCATACACTTACACACAAGTTATTGTCTGGAAGTTACAAAAATGCTTATTTTTGGCCCCTTTTTGGCCCCTAATTCCTTAACTGTTGGTACCATAACCCCCAAAATCAATCCCAACCTTCCTTTCGTGGTATTAAACCTTATGGTAAAATGTCATGGAGATCCATTCACTTAAACTAAAGTTAGAGTGCGAAAACCAATGTGTCTTCGGACGACGCCAGACGACGACGCCAACGTCATACCAATATACGACCAAAAAATTTAATTTTTGCGGTCGTATAAAAATGTTAAGTGAAATGTATTCTAAAAGAAATAAAAAGAATCTTTTCTTAAAGATCCAATGACACAGATTATGCTACTTACCTTTTGTGAGTTATAGGCTATTTCTTGTGACAGGTTTGTATATTTCATAACTTCCTTGGAGTAGTCCTCAAACGAGTGTTCTTCTTTCATAAACTGTTCAACATCTTGTTCAGCCTACAAAATAATTACAATATTTTTTATATATTTATTTACATTGCCAAATGATCAGTCTTTGATCTAAAAAAAAACAGTTATTGACCACGATCACAGGGATTATTCAATGACTAAAATGTCTTAATTTATCAACAGCCTCTCTTACTTCTGATATATTAAGACACAAAATAATAATCTTTTGAATCTCTCAGACTTATAAATATAGTAAATCAACAAAACAATTGACTAATTATTTGTAAACAAAGTGTCATCACAAAACGCCTTTATCAAGACGAATCAACAAAATTGAAATTAATAGGCTGCAAAAACAATTGCAAAAGAACTATAATTTTAAAGAAGAGTTGACTAACATGTCAACCAAATGAAAAAAAAACTGAGAACAAATTATAACAGTCTAAAAAAAAAACATGGTCTACCTTTATCTTGCCTGTGTATGGCTGTGACTAACAAGAAGAACATTTCATATATACTCTAAACACACAGTTTAAATTTATGATAACAAGTTCATGCAGCATGTAATTGTGACTGCAATGACTTTGAGACAGCAGTTATTGAGGCAACATCATTTAATGTCGAGAAAATAAAAAACTTCTGAAATCTAATTGGTTTGTTACAAATCTTTTTTACCCAAAAATACAAAAACTGACCTGAAAAATTGGGTTCCAGCTGAACCTAGAACTAAAAGGACAGTTTTTCCAAACAATTAATCCACATTTTGTTTATACATTTTTAGGACAAATTTCCTATGTTGCCACAAAATGATTTTTTTTAATACCAACCTTACCTATAACACAAGCTTAAAATAATTCAATTTGAGAAAATAAGAAATATGAAGCTGTACAATCTTTGCTACCATAAAATATATCACACTTAAAATATAAAAGGCTTCATACCTGCTTTGAAATAAGGAAATTGTATTTATCATAAATTTTGCAGTGTTCAATAGGGCCAACACTTTCTTTCTTGATGACATCCCTGACTTTCTGTTTGTGGGACTCTAGGATTTCTGGTAGAACAACTGGTTGTAAATTGGTCTTTGTTTTTGAACTCTGTTAAAATAAACAATATACATAGTATATAAAAACAAATATTCAAATATAAATAAACAATTATTCACAATTTGATAATTTATAATGAATTTCACATTTATTTTTTCTTTAGAAATTTCAATTAAAAATATATAACCCATGGAACATCCTTACAAAATATGATATACTGATATTAAAATTATGAAGATAGAAAACCAAAAAGTAAAAGTAAAAAGTTTTCAAATCAAAATTTTTCATTAGTATTAACTTAAATCAGAGAGAAATCTGAAAGAGCAACCTACCCAGTCCAAGTACAGTTTTGTTTCAACCCTTGGTACTTGTTGAGATGCTTTGATCATTACATCATAAACATTTAGTATAACAACTTCAAAGTCTTTAAATGTTGGCTCAAAAACAATGTTAGTTTCCTCAAGAATCAGGTTAAGTTGGAATCCTGAATGTTCATATGCCCTTGTGGAATGCTAAAACAAAAGAATATCACAGTATTAATAGTTAGTCCAAATTCATATGATATTTAAGTATTTTAGTTTGGTTGTTCCTTTATTATATATATAATATCATTCTTCTTGGAGACGAGACAAAACTAAAAAACAAAATTCAGTTTTCTCATCAGGCCAATCATGTACCTTTTTCTCAAAGTTGCAATTGATATTATTTTGCAGGTAATTTGTTAATGATGACATTTAATGAATGACTATTATTTATTTTGAATTTATTGAACCATAAAATTAATTTTTGACTCTTCACATTGAATAATCCACGAAGCGAAGCGGATTATGTAAAATGTGAAGAGTCAAAAATTAATTTTATAGTTCAATAAATTCAAAATAAATTATTGTCATTCATTATAAATAAATTTCTATCAAAGAGCTTTTTATATTATTTATATTAACAATAACAACGTACACACATGTTGGCGAATGAATACACAACGTCAGAGTGAGCGTGTCGCCATAAAAATTGACAACATTGAAAATAAAGGTAATACTTTTAACCAATCAGAAGACAGTAAATACACCAAATTTATTTATTAAAAGTTATTCATGAAAAGTACCAATCATGTTTGACAATCTTCCATATATAACTCAGTTTTGTCAAAAAGTGAAGAGCCTTCCCTTTATCTACAACATTACTTTTGTTTTGAGGTTTCCAATATTTCTGTGAAAATATAATAGTAATTGTAACCAGAAGTTTTTCTTTCAAGTTTTGTCTTATTCTACCACTTTTATCATATTCCCATAACTCTGTAAATCACATCTTTTTTCAAAAACACAGAAAGATTTTTTTTTTTTTTTATTTTTCTATTCTTAAAAACAAACACATGTCTTCAATCAATCAAATTTAAAAAAATTAATTTCTGATTGACGTCATCTAAAGATTCATATCTTAACACTCACAATAGGTTGGTCGATAAGATCTGTAAAATCATCGAGTGAGTTCAGTGACAACTGCTGAAGATTTTCTGTCATCAATGTAGCCGCACTGTTAAAGAAGGATTCCAGTTTTTCTGGGTCAGCATTACTTGGAACCTGTTTACGCTTGTTACCCTCATAAAACATTCTCTGAACTTCTGGGCACCATCTACAAAACACCAAAAAAAGGTATGACATGAGTTTGAAACAAATGACACTTTCTATGAATAAATCTTTAAGGACATTAAAGAAAAATTGTTTTGTGGTTTTAGTAAAATAAAATCTAAATAGGAAGTGTCAAATGCAAAATCTAAATAGGAAGTGTCAAATGCAAAGTGTGCTAAAAATAGCAAACCTTCAATCTGGGTTAAGGAAAATGGTTTGACAGTCCAAAAAAATGAACAATATAAAAATAAGATGTTGTACGATTGCTATGGAGACAATTAAAGAACAAAAAAACAAAGTAAAAGGATGTAAAACAACAACAGTACAACCTTCAACAATAAGCAAAATCCCTACCATATAGATGGCCCTGGATACAAACATGTAATACAATACAACAGAGGAAACTTAAGGCCTGATATAAGATTATTAACTTATAAGAAAAACAAGAGGTTCTGGGAGCTAAAATCACAAAATTGATACCGTGTCTGTACATAAAAAAAATGGCAGTCTATAATTTGCTTAAGGAAACCCTCAAAACAATTCAGACAAAAAATAAATAGTAGGTGCACAATGGCATTATATATGGTTAAAATTCTGACAAAGTTTCAATAAATCCTAACAAGGGGTTTAGGTTTTAGATTGTAGTTTTTTTTTTTTGTGTTTGCAAAATATTGATAAAATAGAGCTTAAATCACCATGTACAAGTATGTGTTGTCATACCTAATTAAAATATCCTATATGATTAGACAACTAAGCTACTTTTTCTAATATCATATGCAAGGATTTAGGCTTTTATACAAGGTCAAGTGAAACAGTGCACAACAAATAAATACATTAATCAACTTATTTCATCTTTGCTTCTGCAGTTAATTATTAGTACATGTACTATAAAAATATATCTTTCTATTTTAACCATTTAAATTATTATTAATAATTCTACCTAAAAACTCCTTATAAAAATGGAGGGGGGTTTCCCCATTATTTGTACAAACTCATACAATTCATTCATTGTAAAAGTTTATGACTTTATTATTTTAACCATAGTTTATTAATAAGTTTCTTTTTTTGCAAAAGCAAATATAAGTTATATACAAAAAGACTTTCTTTTTCAACTATCAATATAATGTATTGTCATTAAACAATAATTCTTGAATATTTTTATTAGCAAAATTAAAGGGAATTTCCCTGTATTGTACAATTAAAGACATTAAATTATGTAAAAAATTTTAATTTTATAACATCAACAAAGTTTTTAAACTCCTTTAAAATTCTTCAGTTAATCTTATTAAATCTTCAGACTTATTGATAATGTGCCAATATTTAATTCATCAGGATTTAAAAAACTGTATGTTGCCAGCTGATTTGCACACATGCCAACTTATTTGTTTGGTTTACACAGCATATTTCATAACAAAATGCACATGTCCTAATTCTTAACACAAAATTCAAATCAACTTAAAGCACAAAGAATACTATTTTCATTTCCTGATAGATGGTATATATTTACATTTAACTCCTTGCATTTATGTTCAACTGAAAATTACAACAAATCCCAACAAAACCCACTGAAACAAGAGGCTCTCAAGAGCCTGAATCGCTCACCTGTATTTCAGAGAAGATTTTTAAATGTTAGCAAACTTGATGAACAAATTGTGTAAAATTGTCTTTAAAGGGCAATAACTCCTTAAGGGGTCAATTGACAATTATGGTCTTATAAACTTTTTTGTAGATCTTACTTTGCTGAACATTATTGCTGCTTACAGTTTATATATATCTATAATAATATTCAAAATAATAACAAAAAACTGCAAAATTTTGTTAAAACTACCAATTCAGTGGCAGCAACCCAACAATGGGTTGTTCGATTCGTCTGAAAATTTTAGAGCTGATAGATCTTGACCAATTGAACAATTTTACCCCACGTCAGATTTGCTCTAAAAGCTTTAGTTTTTGAGATATAAACCAAAAACTGCATTTGACCCCTATGTTCTATTTTTAGCCATGGCGGCCATGTTTGTCGATGGATCAAAACTTCGGATACAATTTATAAACGAGATACCCTAAGGAACATTTAGTTAAAGTTTGAAGGTATTTGGCCCAGTAGTTTCAGAGGAGGAGATTTTTGAAATAGTTTACGACGACAGACGACGACGGACGCCAAGTGATGGCATAAGCTCACATGGGGCCCTTTGGGCCCCAGTGAGCTAAAAAATGAAGAAACTTATTTCATCATCTTGTATGGTGAAATTCAATGACTGAGGACTATTAAAAAACAGTTATCTAAGGGCCACTGAAGTCTCATTTTTAGGACCCCACACCATCCAAATAAATTGAATAAAATTGTACTTAGTGAAGAACAAAAACCTGATGCTAAACTAGTATGCACAAAAATGGTTGATGATTTTACCTCCTCTCATATAGCCTGCGCTTCGCACAATTCTAAAATTGGTTGGCAATTATGGATACCCCTTACATACATATATGCATGAGATATCAACATTTTCATATACATAACAAGTGATCTCTTCCTACAATCTATAAAACTTGTTATTACACTTAAACTGAGAACATTGTTACATAACTTACTTTTTGAGAAGTTTTTCCTTTGCGGCATCAACATGTGCCATACACATCTTCTGGAAAGTTGTCAAGTCCATTGATTCTACTTTATCATTAAACTCCTCTGTATTGATGAACCTCAGTTTTCTGTGGGTGGAAATTAGTTCAAGCTTGATCTTTTCATACAAATATCATATATTTTATGCACTTATTTTATAACTTTGAGATTTCAGTTTTGCTATAAATTTATGATTAAAGGAGGCATAGGATATTATGTCAATGAAATAGCAAATCAACAACAAAAAATATACCAGAACAAGATATAATTTTGATTTATCTAATTTTTGTAGATTAAATAATGGTACTTATGGAATGTTTTACGAGGATGGAAATTATTAAGGGTCTTTTAGCCAAGTTCAGGATTCGAACTCACAATCTCAGTGTTGACTGACAAGTGATACAGTCGTTGGACTACTTAGACCACTCTGCCATTGAGGCCCATTATTCCCAAACGAAGTTAAAAACTTACCAAAATGACATTTAAAGGACAAACTAGACTTTGAGAATCCCTCCATAATGTATCTCATGTTTGACAATTGAAAGTGTTTCTCAGGAGAAACAGATGTGTACTTTTGGTCTAGAAATATCTGCGACATACTAACCCAAAGGAAACATGCCAGAAGTCAAGAACCTGTAACATGCATGGAGTAGTGATGTGGAGTTTCTGTGACATCAGATCTAAGCCTGATACAAATGACTTGTGCCATGGTTTTGGTACAACATCCATCTCCTCTCTGTGAGGTGGAAGTCTTTCTTTTTTGTCATCATCTTTTTCTCTTGGGTCTTTCAATACAAAATCAACTAAAAAATAAAAGATGCATCATTGACAAAAGGACAGACTACAGGTATCCACACCATATTACTGGTGAAGGTGATAGCTAGGACTATTCTATTTGTTACATATTACAACATATCACACATTGATATCAAACAGCAGTCAACTTTTACTTCCCTGTCAGCTTTTTGTATAGGTTGAAGAATTTGAATTATTTGCAGTATCACCAAATGATGACTTTTATCATACTGGCTCCTACATTCTTCCTTCACAAATGTCAATGTATTCGTTTCTAGAAAACTTTTTGAAAGAATATTCAGTTTGCATAAAAGTTTGATATTTCTCAAGATACCAAAAAAAAACTTAAAACTTATTTCCTTTGAAGAAGTTACTTACCAATTGCTTTTTTGACACTTAACAAATAGTCCTCTCTCATTTCATCTGACAAATTCTCTATGGTTTCAAAGTGATCTTTCTACAAAAAGAAACAACATCAATTTGATAAATTTGTGTTTCTATCTAAAAAATATTAACTCAAATATTTGCAAATTATTTTCAGTTTTAAAGTTACTTGTTTTGAGGAAACTACTTTCTATACTTGCTCTCATCTTATTTTATTGATAATTATATCAAAATAATATTAATCAAGACATTTTTGTTAAATTATGAATTCATAATTGAGGATAATGAAGCATACCTTTAGATCATATGACACAAGGTCAAGGACATTCTCAAGCCATGAATCTTCCATTGGAGCCACATGTTCTGTGTCAATTCCATTGTGAATATAGTAATAATATCTCTAAAGTAAAAGAGCAAAAAAATTGATCATAAGTTCTGTGTCACATCCATTTTGTTGAATTCAGTAATAATTGCTCAAAGAAAACACAATTGTTTACAAGTTCTGTGAATTTACAAAATTTATATTATATAATCTAGTAGTTATATTGCTTAAATAAAACGAAACAGAATTTTCATAATTTATTCATAGTCGTACTCCCTGGTGTCTTTTGCTCTTTGTTTTCTAGGCCCCAAAAAATATACTCTTTACCAAGGTTTTGAAGTTAGTTTTTTTCTGACAGCATTGTATTAAAAGAAAAAGTCATCAGATATCATGGAAATAATTTCAAAAGTTTAATTTTTCAATCTGAAACAGCTGGTGATCTTTTAAGTCTATTCATTACTGACTCCGATAGTATATATAATATATACATGCACTATAACACCCTTCATTTAGTAAAATATTTAAACTGATTTTTACTTCTACAAGTTAAAAGTTTAGGAAGACTTGATACCTACCAGAATATCTTTTTCTGCTGATGTTGGGGACCCTGTCCTTGACAGTGGAGGTAACTCACCACCGTTTATAGACACTGTACTGCTGTGAGGAACTCCACCTTCCTCTTGCCTAAAAAAGTACATAAGGTTGACATTAAAAGTCTCATAACAAATTTTAAAGGAGAAATGAAAAATATGTATCACATATATCTTTACATGAAAAATCAATGTAACAAGAATGTGTCCATAGAACACGGATGCCCCACTTGACTATCATTTTCTATGTTCAGTAGACCGTGAAATTTGGCATTAAAATTAGAAAGATTGTATCATAGGGAACATGTCTACTAAGTTTAAAGTTGATTGGACTTCAACTTCATCAAAAACTACCTTGACCAAAAACTTTAACCTGAAGCGGGATAGACGGACGGATGAAGGGATCCACAGACCGAAAAAACATAATGCCCCTAGGTGGGGCATAATAAAATCGAATTTGCTTAAACATTTTTTTCTTGCAGGTACCTAGTAAGCAACAATACTGCATCATAGAAAATTTTAATACAATTTCAAAGGAGCATGTCCTTGAAACTTTAGATGAAAATCATTCTAAAAGAAACTAATTAAGGTTTGTGATGTTTAGTTATAGCTTAATAAATTAAAATAAAGTATCCCTTTGCAATTCAAACTAAATGTTAAGAAATACAGTAATCAACTACAGTATCGTTGAATATTTAACGATATTATTTATAAAGAACTTCACAGATAAACTTAATACATGTTTGCAGTATCATACACATGTATGACAGCTGATTTCAATGAGTGTGTAGGCAAAGGTAATATCTTTGGTTAGCTTGCTTGCTAGCTGAACCATGAAGTCATTGTTAGGTTAGATAAACTACCCTCCTTTAAGAGTAGACTAGTCTGACAGAAAACCAACCTATCTGTCTGTAGGACTAGACTACTTCGAAAGGAGGGTAGTATACCTTACCTAACAATGACTTCACGGTTCAGCTAGCAAGCAAGCTAACCAAAGATATTACCTTTAGCTACACACTCATTGAAATTGGCTGTAGTTTTAAATTAATTTTAATAACTTACATGATAATATCAACCAAAGCCTTTCTGAAATTTTCTCTGTCTTTTTTGGGCTGTTGAAATTGTGTAACATCCCCATTTGTAGCACCATTTTGTTTTTCAATAGGTTTCAATTTGGTTGGTTTCCGTCTCTTAGCATCTCCTTTGCAAAAAAGAAAAAATTATTATAATTGTAACTAAAATGAATCAAAGTTATGTTCTACTACACTACTGACAGCAATGTGTGACTGTTTAGTGCTGGTCGACTGTCCCTCTACAAGTACGAGTGAAAATCTGTTTTGCCAAGTGACTTTTTTAATACACTTTATACAATGTTTTCTGACTTGTATTGTCAGAAGTCGTATTTAGCAGATTGCTACAATACAGATGCTTGTAGATTCGTTACCATGTGTTCATAAATTGATTGACTACATTGCAACATGACAAAATATCAAGTGAAAGCAAGCAAAATTATCAGAAATATTACTTAAAGATGTCACAAGTTAATTCCTAGCATGTTCTGCAATGTTATCATGGATACATGTATAAATTAAATGGCCGAATTGGAAGCTGGTGAACTTTTATATTTAATATTATGACTTGCAAGAGCAGTGACCTTAAAAGGTTAAATTATAAATGTATCTCTAAACTTTGGATGATGGGTGATTTTATTCCCAATGAGTACCATTGGTAATAAAATCACACGACTTTTTCACATCTTTATCAATAATAGCTATAACTATTCAACTACAAGGTTATTCGCAATATTTTACAATTTCATCAAGTTCCAATACAGAAATGTATATGTTATAAAGCCTAAAATTTGATGATAACTTGTCATGAACATTTTTTTTTAAGTTTGCCTATGGCTTTTAACCCACTTAGAAATTGTGTATGATAAAAAAAAATAAATGTATGGTTCTGTAAGTTGCAAAATGTACTGACAACAAGAGTTTTCTGATCTACAATGTTCGCTATTAATAGGCTTTTGTTTTATATTGAAGACTTGCAATGCTTCAATGATTGATTGATTTTAGGTGTTTCAACACCACTTTCAGCACTATATCATGGTAGTCAAGTTTATTGGTGGAGGAAGCAGAGAGAACCATTGACCTTAGGCAGGAAAACCTGACATTCCTAGTCCATTATGATTGGAGTCGAAATGTATCCTGCCACATGCTTTAAAGTACTTACTTGCTGTAAGCTCTCCAACTAAATCAATTCCATTTGTTTCTTCTTCAACAATTTTACCAGAAAGTTCAAAAGTGGGTGGGTTTTGTTGCCATGCTGGTTTTGATCTTTTTGATGGCAATACTGGTAGGAATCTGATGGGATCATCTGTCCCTTTACCTTTACTCCCTCGGCCATTACGACCAGGAGTCAACTATAAACAGAAAAATTTGTGAAATACAGCAACAATGTAAGCTTTAAGCTGCTAAAATTGAGGATATATACAACGATGTCCAAATTAAGCCCAACGAGATAGTTATAAACTATAGGTATAGATTATATAACCCTTTGATGTGACATTTTTAGAATGAAAGTCATGTCTTACAAGGTAATGATTTTTCTTTCACTGGGTCAAAAGAACTTCAGAAAATGTTCTGACACTGCATTTTCTGAAGTCATATTTGTCATTACAACGTTATAATGTTGTTTGTTTGAATTTAAAGATCCTAAAATGTATGTATTATTCTTATGCTAAAGTAATTATGAAAAACTCTTTTGTAGTTGTCTCAAAAGTGACAATTATCCCTTATGCAGACTCTTGATTTCCCAAGCACGGTCAAAGGGTTAAACTATATATACTGGATAGAAGTACATGTAATTGAGGTAACTTTCATTACGAATAAGGGTAAAAGATTTTGCCAAATGACGTTAACGGTAATTTTTTATGCATGACAAAATGTACATTTTCTTCAAGACGATAAAAAAATCAACTAATTTTGATGAATCAAGTTAAATTTTTTCTAATGATAATCTAATGAAAAGAGTACCAAATAATTATTCGAGACCTCTGCATGTCACTCATGTCAGCTCTGACAAATAACCATATAGATATTTTGACGAATCAAGATAAAATTTTACACAATTTGACGCTCACGGTAGCAAAAAATGACTGTTTGACGCCTGAAGGTAAAGGGCATTTCTACCCTCATACTGGGCAGGCTGGTCCCTGTAACTGTTATTGTTACTCATAAGTTGCATGAATCTATCTAGAAGTGTCCTGATATATTGTTTTATGTTAATTTTACATCAGTTGGTATCTTCATGTCCTGTACAGGATTCTTAAACAAATCTTACACAAAACTGCGTTTACCTTTTGAAGTTGGAACGTTGTCAAAATAAACCCTGCAGTGACCAGAAACTTATATAAATGCAATCTGACTCCCCTTTATTAAACTTGCTTTCCATGTAAATTACTAATAAAATTACCTCCTGAATATCTGCCATTCCAAATTTCTATTTCATGGGTATATCTCAACAGTTATTGCACTGGATCAAGAGAAAATAAGAAATGTTTTGATTTTAACCAATTGAGCAGTGCGTGACAAGATGGCGGTTATGCTTTCACGTTGCTAGGTAATATGGATTTAAAAATTTTTTTATTGTCCAATATTTTATAGTCTTAAAACAATTTTTCATATTTATTTTGAAAAAGAAAACATAGCGATATCCTTTTCTAATTATTCAATGAATTGATAGTTAAATCGCAGGAGCGTGATTTTTATATATGGGGCACCAGATGGGAAATGCATTGTTTAGCGGGAATTTTAAATCTTCCGTTATCAATGCTTTCTTTATGCAACAAAGTTAAAACAAAGTATCAGAGATCACGATTTAGAAGTAAATTAGACCGATATAAAATAAATCAGAGAGATGTTTGAAAAAGTTGTAATTTCTCAAAGATTTTTTAACATTCAAATTATATTATAAACTTATATTATAAACAGTAAGTTTAACAGAACCAACGTGAATTGATTACTCATCAACTGAACTACGGTTTATTTAAGACCCCCCCATTTAAGTTCTATAAATATTATATACTTCAAAGGAATGTGTCAAACGCGGTGATGCGTTTGATAACAAGTATTAGAGGCTTTTAGCAGTTAAAGTAAAAACAATTGCTACATTGTATTTACGGTTTTTATAAACAATTTCTTTGATAATCGAAGTTTCAAAACATCCCTAACTCACTTTCCCACGAAGTAGGTGAATGTGCCCTACCCGCGGTTGGGTTGGTTATTTCATCATGGCACAGCCAAGAAAACAGTCCAGGTTAGATCCATTCTTAATGAAAGATAGAAATACTGTTTCAAGCGCCGGAAAGGTTAGTTTATTGATTTGTATCATTATTTAATATCTCTGTGTCTATATATATTTCTCACTTGCAACCTAAAATTTTGCCGAAGTATGCATATAAACGATCAAGGCCCCCGACCCGTACTACCGTATTACATGGGATCGCAAGAAAATAAACATAACTTCGTAAATTAAAGCATCTTATTCTGATTTTAGTGGTTTGCGGCGAAAACAGTATATATAAAGTCTGGCACGACCTCCGAAAATAAAAAAATGTAAAAACTCATTATGAATCCCTTAGGGCGTAAGTTAGGGATGTTAGGAGATCGTTGTTGATTTTTCCAAGTTTGTAGGATACCTTGCCATCTTACCTCAGAGGCTCTTCGCGGAAACAAGGACCGTCATAGTTTTACCTCTGTCCGTTCATCCGTCAGTCAGTCACTTGATATTTGGTCCGGAGGACCGCTAGGAGTCCGGTATTGCATTTGCACGCATACAAATCTATTACATCATTACTTCATTTCCCCCGAATATATTCAATTGGCTTATATGAATGTTACACCAGTTTTCTCATCAACCATTGACATAACATTCCAGGATTTTTTTTTATATGGAGGGTCAGCTCAGTACTCCGGATTGAGGTCTGTCTCTATTCTACTTGTCTTACGTCCCGTTTTCTGGTAAGTATATGGGGTTAGTCTCAATGAATAGAAGCTCACAGATTTCTTGTTAATTAATTCATGGTGATTGTAGATTGTTGTCAGGGGTGGATTTAGGCGGTTTTAGCTTGAAACTTTAATTTCTCGCTAATTTTACCACAAAATATTTTCGCTTGGCGAGATATCTACATTGCACCCACTCTAGACTGAAGAATATTTAGATAATTTTACCTCCAAAAAATTTAGGTTTGCGCCCCTAACCTAAAAACCTGGATCCGCCCCTGGATTCATAGATATAAGATGATGTGGTGTGAGTGCCAATGAGACAACTCTCCATTCAAAAATGCAAGTCACAATTTGTAAAAGTAAACCATTATAAGTCAAAGTACGTCCTTCAACACGGAGCATTGGCTCACACAGAACAGCTATAAAGGGCCCCAAAAATGACTAGTGTAAAAACATTCTTGAAAACAGGAAAACCAACGGTCTAATCTATATAAAAAACGAGAAACGAAAAACACTTATGAACCACACCAACAAACGACAACCACTGAACAAGCCATAGGCCTATAAACATATAAAAATGCAGAGAAACCAGTAAATGGGTCACAATTGTAAAAGTTGAGTGGATACAATATAGGGTCATCTAAATTTGGATCCCAGTAATATCAAATTTTACATCAAGGATCATTAATTAGTTTAAAAAAATCCGAACAGTTCAATCCTATTTATAAAAAGCAAAATTTTCTTTCGTAATATTGATAAAATTGGAAATACCAAGGATTTGTATAGCAAGACTTACTATACAAATCCTTGGAAACACTGAGGCCTCCGTATATGAAATTAGAAACATATAATACAATATTGTATTATATGCCTCTGATTAAATTGATATTTGTAAATTAAAATCTTACAGACCAGTTCTCAGTAAATTTCGAGTCAGTGTCCATTCCTTCGCAATTGAAAGGGGCGATTATGCTAATGTTTAAAGAAAACAGAAAAAATTGCCTGTCTTGCAACAGGGAAGTAATTGCGAATGAATACAATTTCATCTCAGTCTCTCCATGCTATGTCTTTTCTAGGGATACCTTTATACAGAAAACAGAGCAAATAACCATTCAATTGTTGTCGTATAGGTTAGGGAACGACAATTTAACTTCAAAAAAAAGGGGGGGGGGTATGTTTTTTTCCTAAAAAATATTCTGATCCCCAATTTGATGAAGAAAACAAATATTGTGGTCAAGCAGATGACAATAAAAAAATCATTCTGAATCCAGATTTTCCCCATAAATTATTGTGTTAAATTTTGAAAAAAATAATTTGATTGATAGCGTCGAAAAACTAAAAAAAAAATGTTCTGACTCAGACAAAAAACCATAACCCCCTTGAAGTTAAATGGTTGCTCCCTTACTGTAAATCATATTTTGTTTTGTTAATATTGCTTTGTACATACATCAGGCCGTTGATTTTCTGGCTTGAATTGTATAACATTCGGGATCTTTTTAGCTGCTGTGTGGTATGGTTTTTGCTGGTTGTTGAAGGCGGTACGGTGACATATTGAACATCTATGTCATTTGGTCTGTGCTGGATAGTTGAAATACGCTATCTGCAGTTCTTTTATTAATCTTAACAGGGATCCGAGTTATTTCATTTGCTTTTAAAGTTTATTTTTTTTTATTAAAGTCAGATTGATTTGATTACTAGTATATTTGTTCCCTGACTAAAGTTATATTCGAGGAGGTCCATTAACGTGGATATTATTCCGTTTTTAACATAAGATTAAATAAATAATTGGCAAATGATTTGCTACTTACTGGGCTACACATTTTGAATACCTAATTCAAAATGATCATATCTGGTCCGCTTGCTCTCCCATTTTTAAATTATCTTTTTTTTTACTTTTAATTTCACAGCACGTTTTTGCCTGCTAAAATGTGTGATTTATAAGAAACTAGTATCTTTCATATTTTAAAATTTGACCAATTTTGGTTTGAAAATAATTTTAATTAACAACAACATTTTTTTTTTAACTTTTCTTGATTTTGAAGAAAGTGTTATTATGCTGTTACTGATTTTTAACTATTCGCTTACATCATTCCAAACATTTTTGCTTTCTAATGTTTATTGTAATTTCCAGAATTCTTGCGGTTTTTATTCGTTGAATCGGGAAGTTTTTGTCATATTTTTGGGGTATTTGAATTGCTTGGAGGAGATCTCAGGTGGTCTGATCTGGTCTGGAATTGTAAACAATTCCTGCTCCACATTACTTTTTAAATGAAATAAGTCATTAAAATATTTATGTGCCAGTGAACTTTTAAAAGGAGTTTGTCTTTTATACATCTTATTTATGATCAGAAAATGCCTGTTCCAAGTCAGGAATATGACATTTCTTTTCGGTCGTTCCGTTGGGTGATATAGCCGAGCGTTTAGTTTTGTCAGTGCTTATGAACTTTCCCATTTTGAATTTACCTTTGGGTTCAGTTTTGTGTTAGTTTATTTTATTATTGACTTTTAAACTCATATACTGCATTGTCTCACCATTTTCCCTTCTATGTTTTTGATGTTTAATTTGTATGATTGTATCAGAGAGAGACTTTAAGTCAGATATTTACCATGCTAGGTAGCAGTCTACAGAAAGACATGCCAACCTACGAGGACACAAAATTTTACTCCAAGACGACCATGCAGTCTTTTCTCTTACCCAAATATGCCACACGCTTAACAGAAAAGGAGTAAAACATTTTTTTTTTTAACTATTTATGGTTTTACTCGGACGGGGATCGACCATTCAACCCCCCCCCCCCCCCCCCCCCCCATACTCAAGACGAGCACGCTACCACGAGACTACCGAAGCTGTGAAAATGCTAAGATATAAGCCATAAAAGAAGAAATCCCGAAACAGTATAAACATATTAATGTCATAAAGAAGTCATCTTACGGTCAATTATACAGAGTAAAATATGCATTTGAATTGTTTTACATTTGTCATGTTTGGGGCTTTCAAAGCTAGCTTGCTATGTGGTGTGGGTTTTGCTCATTGTTGAAGACATATGTTTGCTAACTTTTTCGTCATTTGATCTTATATTAGGTGGAGAGTTGTCTCATTTACCAATCATACTACATCTTCTTTTGTTCAATTATTCTTATAAAATAAATAGACTGCCAACGTTATCGCTTAGTCTTCGTATTAAAGGAAGATGTATTGAATATACCTGGAGAAAAAAAAACTTAAAAAAAAACCTCGTCAAAGATACAACGCCTATGATAACGTACACCGGAAGTTGGAACAAATCAATTACAAAGTGGAAGAGTACTGAAAAACTGAAGTTCCAAAAAGTTGTGTCAACTTGTTATGAGGGTCTGGATGGGGATTTAGAGAAAAGAGAATAATATGGGAAAAAATAAAAAATAGCGAGAAACGGTCAAAAAGATGAAAAATAGAGATTAATGGGGTGCTGAAATAAAAAGAATGGGCAATAATAGACAAAGAATATAAAGAATAGAGAAAAATGGCATACAAAATTAAAGAATACAGAAATGAAGACCCCCTCCCCCCCAAATCCAGACTCTCTGTTATGGCCTTCTATGTCTATATGTACCGAAAAAA